TATTCGCCGTGAATAGTCGGATGATGATTATCAAGAAAAACTAGCACCATACCAAATCACCCCCTCCCTTCAGTCCTAGGTCCAATTCTCACAGTGAAGAAAAGAAAAAGAAAAAGAACCCAGAGAAGATGAAAATCACTGCAGTACTTGTGCGTTCACCGACCTCTCCCTCAATAAAGAGGGCCTTTCACCGAGAAAAGTATCGAATAAAAGGCACTTTGGCGGTCCAAACGTGCAGAACAGGACCAAAGATTGCAATCCGGACGATTTTACGCCTCTTTTCCCGCCCACTGCTCCCTCAATCGGTAAACGGGGCCTTGGGCGAGGTGATGGTGGCAGCAGTCATCAGTGGGTTATGATACCACCTATGACAGGGGGCGCGAAAGCAAGCCATCATGTTTGGGGAACTGTACGGCACGGTGCAGTACCGGTATCATAACAGGAGCGAAAGGGACGGTTAGGGTTTGTCAGGCAAAAGGGATTGGATAGAGCTGTATTTGAGGCTCTCAGTTTGTTGCGAAATTCCCCGATAATGAACTCATTGGCTGAGAAAAGGGCAAGAGGCGGGTGGGTTGCGACACCTTAAGGAGGAAGGAGAAAAGGAAAAGAAAAAAAAATATGTGATGGAACGTCCGGTTAGATTCATTCCGCTTCCGGACGCTTTGCTTATTTGCTCTATTACCAAACATATCTAATATTATATATATACAGGACGCCATGCATCAAATGGAAGATTACCATACACGGTATCATAAAACGATTGCTCCATTCATATGATACTCGTACAGTACCGGTTACGGTACCGTATCCACTTACCCCTTCTTGAGGCTTAAAGAAATGTGGGGGGGGGAGGGGGGCGGGAAGGGGTTCCCACGAGTCTTCAACGTCACATTTCTCCTTTTATATATATATATATATATATTTATATAACATTATTCTCACCTTTTTTTGTCACCTTCCCTTCCTCCCACACGGCCAGTAACGTAGTTAGAACTGGGGAATCAGAGGCACTGTATTTTTGGGGAATTATCAAGTCTCCGTATGATACTCTGACCGCATTTCTAGGAGAAACCAATGTTGTTGATGCTTTTACTTTTATTAAGGTTAAGGTTGTTTTTTTCCTTCCCTTCACCCCTGAGACCCCCTTCCTATAGCCCCTCCTCCCTCTTTTCTTTTTCTTTTTCTTTTTTGCTCACTTCTCTCGCTTGCTGCTGCTGGCAATGGCTCTGGTATCTGTCAAGTCACTGCTATGCCAAGTTGCAGCTGCAATAAGCGGTGAGGTACCGGTATGATACATTACGGTATGTAGGGTCTAGCATGGAGATGGTAAAGTTTTGAACCAGTTTAAAGTTAGCTTTGGACCAAAGATACTTGTACCAAATACAGCGCAATGACCCTCACATCACTCCCTGAACGTCACTGTGGCGCCGTCAGGATCGCCCACAGGGTTTGGGCCGCACGACCCACGAGTCCCTATGTTTTATCCGTGGATACGGAGAACCCCTCGAGTCTCACAACAACCCAAGCCTTGCGCATCCCGAGTCCCTCTGAGAGAGTTTCCCCCGAGCTTTCCCACGCTCCCCCACAGTCGGAGCCTATGATACAGCACCCACACGAATACCCTTATCTCCAAACCATCCTCGTCACCAGCCTTCCCTCCCCAACGTCACGAGCCAACCTCCAAGGCGAAGAAGCGATCGGATGACCCAAATTCCAGGTACCTTGCCAATCGGTGCTAGCCAACCCTCCACGGCAGCGGGATACACTCTACGTCAGCACTCTAGCATGGCACTGCCCCTTACAGATCCCACAACGTTTCCAAAGACAAGGGCAGGAAGAAAGGGAAAAAAAAATATAATGAAATTACACCTCTTCATCACCATCATCATCACTATCATCGGATCGCTGGGTGAAGTAAAGAGAAGCACGAGAAACTAAAAGAAAAAAGAAAGAAAGAGAACCGCCAACTCTACCCCTCCTCAAGGGAACCAGAAACAGCTCTACCATTTATACCGAACAACAAAGTCAGCAAATTGGTGCATCACTCTCACAGATCGTACCAGCCATTTTTGTCTTCTCTATCGGGGCGCTCCTCGTTGTGGCTTTTGTCATTGACGGAAAGCTTCCGTAGTGGAGAGAGAGCGCAAAAAGGTTGTCGGCAAGAATCATATCGACTTACCCTCAGACGGCCGCATCAAGCTTGGAGCAAAAAAATATTTCACATGAGGAGGTTATGGATAGCATGCAAGAGTAATTAGTCCAGCTCCTGTTTCCTTTTTTTTTTCTCCGTCCCTCTGTTTTTTTCCCGGCGACAACTGTTTTTCGCAATCCGTCGTGTCGATGCAATTACCTTTTTTTCTTTTTTCTTTTCCCCTTCTCTCTCCTTCCCGAACCCAGTTCATTCCCCTCTCAACTCTTTTTTTTTTTTTTCCTTTTTGCCTCTTTCCTCTTCCGCCCGACTGATTCGTGAATTGGAACTAATATATTACTTTTTATGTTAGGACATTTTTCGGAACCATGAACAGTTCACACGCGAACATTCCGAACAAACGATCCACTGCCCCAGGTGCGTTGCGCAATGTGCTGTTGCCCTCGGACGCACATATGACTGGCTGGTTACCCACCCACCAGATGTAAAAGCCAAAATGGTGGAAAGGCGGAGGGAAACGTGCCTATCAATCCTAGCTCTACCTTCTGAGAAACCCGGCTTTACGATGGGGGGACTATGAACTCCCACCAATGACTCCTGAACGAAGTAAATCCGACGCCGGCAAACGTGAGGAGATGGAATGTACAACAAGCAAACATTGAACGTATTGTTGTGTCACATCCCTTTCCCCCCCCCCTTTCCCCCCAACCCACTCGCCCGCGGGAGATAGGAAAGGCAGGGAAAGGGAAAAAAAAAAAAAATTCTATCTCGAGCCACATATCAAGAGATGAGAGATGCCATGATGCTATCTACTCCCCAAATATCGGTGTAGATACCGAGTTCACGGCGCATGCGCCAAAGAGGTGTTATTTACTTATTCCTCGAATTTTTTCTTCGTAGGTGGTGGTGGGCGGTGAGTGGTGGATGGTGACCGAGTTCCTGGGAAAGCAAGCAGGGTCATTATACCGGTAAAAAAAACTTTCCCCCCACCCCTCCCCTTCTCCAACCACGTTGTTCAATAAGAAAAATTCCCAACAACCGAATCGATAGAGAAACGAGGAACTGCGCATGCTAGTCAGGAGTTGGCTCGTGGGTCTGGGGGGGGGAGAGGTGGTGCATACCGGTGCTCTAGGTGCCGTTCCTCCGGTTGGTGGAAATAGCGCAAGTGCCGCATTATAGCAAGCTTCGATATTCCCCTCTGATCTGATCGCGCGCAGAAAGCACGACCTCAGGCCTTCCCATGCAATCACTGTACCGTACCGGTATTGCTCCCTGGAACTCTAATCCTTAATATGCAGCAATATACCATAGGCATCAATATCTAACTTATCACCCTTTCTCTCCTCTCACTCTCAGCCCCTCTTACTTCTCCCCAAGTCAAACAACGGTAAGTCAGCGTGGCTCGCTCGCTCGCTCAAGACCGAGAGCTTTGATATGATAATAATATCCAAAGCGTAGGATTCCTTTAAGTCATGCACATATCATATATATGTACAGGTACATAGTCCGCACCCATATGCTTAGTAAATGGCACCAGTACCACAGAATCTCAGGTACAGCAGTCGTAATGCTGTGACATTCATAAAACGGACTGCTATTGCATACTACCAAAAGTCTAAGGCTCTGGCCAACTCTTCGCCGCATGCAATATCAGTCCGCTCTACAGACGCCACAGCATTACGAGTACATGAACGGTGTGTTACGCTGTTCGAGTTGCCCCCTCCGGAAAGACCTGTTACCACAAGTATTATTATTACCATTCATATTATCTCCATCTTTCAAAGAGGCCCAACAACTCACTTTCCACTCCGTCTCTCGCTCCAATTTCCCCCGGAAGGAAGGAAATTTTCGGACAACGATGCCTGACACTTCATTTATTTGAGATTCCACGATAACGGTGCCCTACGCTACAGAGGTTGGTATGACGATAAGTTGGGCAGGTGTCAATGATCGCTCGTGCCCAGCATATCACTATACGATACCCGATTTACCATACTCACGAGCCCTAACTCGTACACTAGCGCAGGTTCCTACGGTTGGAAATTATCTGCTCCCTTCCTATAGTCCAAATTGGCCTAGTCTGGGATGGGATGGGACGGAGCCAGCAATGTGGAGATCTGACACGGAGCCTTGATACCGTATGATGGTCTATCTACTTCCGACCAAGCCAGAGAGCCGTTTACATTAATTCCGCTCTTCTCCGATTATTATTTTTTTTCCTCTTCGTTGTCTTGCCTACTGCCTACCGGTACTGAACTCGAGTACCGAACAGCACAGTACTCGTACCATACTTCCACTTCGCCAGGTTTTGTTAAGTAAGGGTTGCCCCATTATTGCTAGGGGTTACGGTAGGGTAGGGTAGGGTAGGGAGGAAGGAAGGGGAGGAAGGGACAGAGAGGGGGGGTTCTAATTAGATGCGTTATCAGATGATCCGATGGCAACTTCTCGATAAGTCGTATGCACTGCACACGCAAGGCAGTTAAATTAGTTACAGTACCGGTCCGAGTGCGAGCACTCTACAGTACCTGGATACAGTACAGTACCGTACTAAGTTACCGACCGCCGGTCAAGTCCGACTCTGAAGGACTTTTTTTGTTACCATAATGTACATAACACACTGCACCGCAACGTAGCTAACAAGTGTACCGTACTCGAGTACGCTACTCGCACCGTACTTGTACACAATTTCAACATATCCCCCCCCCCGACCTTCCAATTTACTTATTCCCACCCAAACAACTCACAGACTACTTATCACACGGCAGCTATGATAGTCTACTCGTACCGTAGCCACGCCTACGTTGTCCGTGCGCGCGAATGGTTCTGAGCCCAGTCCTGTCGCCTACCGTAGTCACCCGCGCGCGCCCGCGTGCGGATCGCTTGCGATACTAATACTATGACGTCGGTGGCGGTGTTATAACGGTTAAGTTTATTGGGGAGAGAATGAGGGTAATTTGTGTCTTGGTCCAATTCTGTTAGGACATGTGCCATGTTTTCGGCAAAGTAGAGAGGGTAAAGTGTAGTTCAATGAAGTGTACGGAAGTGAAGTGAACAAGAGTGCAATTGCTTTGTCAGTGGAGAAACGGATGGATGAGGCCATTGTGCTGAGCTACATCATTGTACGGCGCGATATCGCTCTGTACGAGCATTGCACTGTATTGCCTTGTATTTTATGGTACGGTATGGTGGTAGACGTACAAGTTATATCATTTCTACTTTAGAGAAACGAGGGGAGAGGTGGGGGGAAAGAGGGAAGGGAAGAAAGGAATGGATAGATGGGTAATAAAAGTGAAAGATGTAAAAACACCGGCGTCCCTATTTATATAGTCGAAATGGAAAGAGGAAGAAGGAAAGAAAGGTTAATATCCCGAGCCATGCGAAAAGAAAAGGGATAGAAGAAAACAGCAGGCTACGAGTGTAGGTTGCCCCCTATGACCAAGCAATTGAACATCCGAAAAAATTACATCTCTCCCCGTACTCCACCGAATATCACTCCCCAACCTTCTTCAGCCCCTCCTCCTTCTTCTTCTTCAACTCCTCTCTCCTCCCCTTCTCAATCTCCCCGTCCGCCAACTGAATCCTCTCTTCCCTCAACTTCTTGATAAACAAATCCTCGTTCATCTCCCTATAGCCGGCCACAATCATTGTGAGCATAATGCCCAAACTGGGCAAGTACCCCAGCGCATAGACGTACGCGGGGGAAGCATGTATAGACAGTGGACTGATGTCGGCCTCCCAGGAACACGCGACAGCGAACACAACACGGACGAAGGCAAGGGCGATGCAGATCGGGATCTTGGCCGGGACGTGGCGGGATAGCGGCTTGTAGTAGTGGATGCTAACGCACAGTGAGAACACGATTACCAGAAGAGCGATGAGTGAGAAGATTGCGGAGGCGCGAAAGCGGGGATCGGTTATGGCGGATTTGAAGCCTTTGCGGATGGGATTCCAGGAGCGGAGGATTGAGAGGAAGAATGTCTGTTTGTTTGTTTAGTCAGGGTCCACCCCGGAGAGTTAGGGGGAGGGGGGGGAGGGGGCACACAAGAAATGCAAACAAGTAGAATACTAATGGAGCATAAAACTCGATCTTGGACCTTCTATCCTCCTGCGGAAGCTTGAAGGGGCTACCCTCCACAGTCTGCCGTTCCAAGAACGACCCCCAATGCCTTGTTGACTCCCAAACGGCTGCAAGAGTTGTGGGGACCATCACCCAATAGAACAACACAGACAAAATGAACGGCGTGCCCATAAGGTGATCCCTATCAATATCAACAGCTGTGAATCCGCTGATCATTCCGCAAGCGCACGTAACCATCAGCCAGTACCACTGCCATCGCCTTGACACCAGTAGGAACCGCTTCTCCGGGGGTAGGTGCGTGGCACCGTGCTTGCGGAGGTGGACGCAGACGAAGACTATCACCACCGCGTAGAGCACTGCAAAGGTGATTCCCAGGGCGCCCCGGGTGGCGATGGGGTTGATGGGGGAGTCACACTTGGTTCCGTTGAACACGCTGCCGTTTGGCGCCATCCAAGGCTTATAGTTATCGAAGACGAGGTAGCAACGGGAGCTGTTGGAGAGGGTGCCATTAGAGTATATTCCTTTTCGGGGCAACCCACGTTAGTTTGCTTGTTGGAAGTCGAGAGGAGGAGGAGGGGGGAGGGGGCAAAACCATACCATAACTGAACTCCCGCAGAAGTGTCTCATTGAACACTTGACCCCCAAACTGAATGTGTGACGAGTTAAACGGTTTCGCCATTGCTGTTTTGTTTGCTCCCTCTCGCTTTCTCCCTCCCTATCCTGCAAGATGGCCTTCGTTTTGGTCTTTGTTTGCTATGGTTGCTTGTTTGCCAGTTGACGTGCTGACTCGCTGGCAGTAAATGGATCAAGTCAGCAACGGGGCCATCAATGATCGGATACTCATTGTCCCGCGGGATCCAGTACGACAGGTATTGAACAGTAATCCAGAAAGGATGATTTGTCCCAGAGCACAATTCAACACAACTTAGGACAGGGAATGGGTGGAGAAGCGGGAAACAAAGGAAAAATGAACCGCATCGGGAGAATGAGGGAGATTGAAAAAAAGAGTTTCGCGGGCTCGGCTAGCGCGTTCCGGGCCCAGTACTAGATGCTGCCATGGTCGTCCAAGACATTGTGACAACTCCGTTCCCCATCTACAGTAGGGTACCCGAGTACTCCTTGCCCCAACCCGATTTCCACTACCGGTATCGATGGCAGCGGGGACGTTGAGAGTTTCGAGGAGTTGTGAATGTCAAGTCACCATGCTACCGCTACGGAACGGTAGTCGGCAGCAAAAGGCTTGCATGATCACGTAAAAGTGTTGTGTTTAATTTACACAGCAATGGCAGTCTACCCAGCACGACAGAGGATAGCGTTCATTAGAGCACGGTTACAAGTACTGATGGGAGCTTGCCTCATCACTTTGGAGGAAAAAATGGCTTGGCAATTCTTCGGGGTAACTACATCCTAAAACTTCTGCGGGCCGCTATCCAATACGGGCAATCAGCTGGGTGCCGGCCAGCAGCCAACCCTAACCTGCCACCTCTTTGAACCCAGACAGGAAAAGAAGAAAATTATCACATCATTGTTGGAAACAGAACCCCACCCTCCGTTCAGGTACTCCGATTCTCCCCTAGCTCCGGGTAGCGGGCCCTCTGTTCTTCCCAGCAATATGTGTCCAAATCTGGACCCACTGTGGGGTCCGAGGAACTCTCAAGACTTATTGCAGAAGTGACGGACCCACAATCACCGGGCTGGGCCGTGGTTGCACAGATATTGCTATTACGCCCTTGGGGTGTTTCCGATACCAATGATCTGCTCTGTTCGACAGGCCCATCACCATTGCCGGATCCGTTGGTAGTGCCGTTGCATTCTCTGGTGCCACCGACTCCACGCCCTTGGGGGGTCTCAGACCCCGAAGATCCCCCATACTCGGGGGAGCTTGATTCAGGGCTTTTGCTGCCGCCCCTGCTTCTGCTACGGCCCAAGCTTCGGCGGGCTGGGCGGCGCCATGTCTGCTCACCTCGAGATATCCCGTCTGGCATCTTATTAACATTGGTGTGTATGGAATGGAGGGGAAATGGGACCAACACTCAAACCTAGCCCTCAAAACACACCCCCCCTCCCACCTGTTCCTTCCATCCCTCGTGAGGTTTTCCCGGCTGTGAGACGGTCTATAGCTATCCAGAATCTCCCGTTCCATCTTGACAAAATGCCTGGTTTTCTTGAGATGTTTTTTGGTGGCTCTGGGGTCCTGGAACCGTGCCCCACACATCCTACACTCCGTCATACGGCTTATCTCGTCTCTTGGGGGCATTGGAAAGGGTGCGTCGCAAACACAAGTTTTGTCAAGATCGACAAGAAGGGAAATTGGAAGGCTAGGGGGAAAATCCTCACATTATATCTACTCCCCCCTTCCTTCCCTCTCCTAAGTGACCGCTTGAGCGGAATAGGTGGACGGGGATGGAGGCTGGGCATAGGCAAGAGTAGAGGAACCCTGAGCAGCGTAGTCCAGCCGGCATGCCAGCTTGTCAATTTGGTTGGCACTGATGCTGTGGTGGGCGGAAGAGGCAACAAGGGAGACAATGTCATGAAACTAACATGCGCCCCCATCCGATCGTGCTGTTGAGAGCTTGGGTAGTTTTTCTTTTTCTTTCTCTCTTTCCTTTTTTTCTCTGATTAAAAAATTTAATCTATGATACTGCACCCATTTGGCAGACCACGGTACCACACCCTCAAAGATCGCAAAAGATGTGAAGGTGTGATGGAAAAACCGGCACTATGGCTACGTGATATGAAACCACGGGTATCAGCGTCCATGGGACCAGGGACATAGCTGTGGGTGGTAATCGCTGCCCAAGCCAACCCACATACAATGCAACTCACCGCAACTCACCGCAACTCACCATCCCCCCTTCCCTTTCTGCCCTACCTCCTGCTCACCTACAGCACGTCCACCCCCCCCCCCCCCCCGCCCGATCTTATCTATGGCAAACAGATTGAGGGGGTTTCATTAAAGGGAATGCCACGATCATGGGAACCGCCACTCCACATCCTATGTGAATCAACGGCTGACAGCTATATAGCAGCTCGATGGCGTGAAAACGCAGTAGTCTATGGCACAGTACAATTGGTCTTACTATTTCATACCGCATCACAGATCATTTGTGGTGCTGGCCAGCACCGGTGGCCCCGTCTTTTTTTGTCCTTCGCCCCTTCCTCCTTTTTTTTTTTGCAAAATCCGTCTTAGGCAGCGTTCTAACGAAGGAACGATAAAAACCATTCCTCATAGGTGCCAGCTTTTCAGTGAAATCACTCTGTCTTCTAGGTATGATGCCAACGGACAATATATACGGAGTTCGTATGGTCCACCGTTGATAGTCTCAGCAAAACCTAAAACCACCTATTTCGAAAATTACAGAAGCCCCCCATGGACCCAACAAAATGTATCCCCTATCCCAACCCCTTCCTCATGGATGAGCAATTGTGCCTCATGGGTATTAAACTACTATCTTTATTGCACAAACTGGACACCTAGGAACAATAATGAATATCAGTGCCAAGTTGCTACCTCTCATAATCTTGAAAAACAAGGGCATTGTTTGTTGGGTGCCGCTTCCTTCCATCACAATGTTCCATCCCACCAGTATCATCCATCAGCCCATAAACCACACTTCCAACGTGACCAGAGATACATTCATCATACCCCAGCCACGGGATCCCTGCAGATCCCTCACCTATGTCATATATTATAGGATACCTCTACCGGTATACATTAATCCATCACTCCTCTACCTACTCATTATAAGTATAAACACAGTGCACCCGATCAAGCTAAGAGGTCATTTTTCACCCCCCTGCATTGGATAAACAGAATGCAGTATAACAAACCAAAGCAGAGCACAGTAATCAAGATAGTATTAGCATGGTTACTAGTGGGTAATATACTAGTAGTAGCAACAATTGTTCTAATAAATAACCTGTAAGGAGTATTTAATACCCTCTTAGTAGAAACAATCCAAGTAGAATTAGACTAACATATCATACTTCATTATTGATCATGCATATATACTATTACTATAATCTTATTATGTCCAATCACTCATAAAGGAGTAGGTAATAATTAGTAAGACAAAAGCCTTTTATGTAACCTATATATAATAGGACTCACTATGATATTCTATGATAAGTAACTTATTATATAAAGCCAGTAGTATAATATGTTAGGTTAAATTGGTCTACCTCCAAGTCAACATAGTAAATACTACCTCTATTCTTTTTATTGGTGGTTCAAATGGAATAATACTATTATTATAAGAATATTATAGAAAAGCCTTTACTGATTCAACTCTGAAATGTCTTTAGAAAAGTAAACTGAAATTTACTAGTAACAGACTATATTCCTTTAGGATATCTAGTATAAGTACATATAACTATAGGCTCAACTATATATATAGGTATTCTGGAGAACCTCATACCTCATGCTGTTATATATATAACCTACAACCAACTATTATATAATTCTCAGGTATATCTCCCTCAAATGTACAAGTTAAGCATTAGACTCAAGTAGTTGACCTAAGTATATGTAAGTATACTTCCTATTATCTATTAGTATTAATTGGATACAAAGATTGGCAGTATCTTCTAAATCCAAGTATGATGTATTAATAAAAGTAAATTACTAGTATGTATCAAGGCTCATGAAACTCAATTGAACAAAGTCTTCAATCCCATATCTTACTACCTATTCATAATATATTATTCCTATAATCAATTCATTATATACCTAATTTACATCTCCATGAACTACTAATATAAAGTAGATAGTAAAGTATCTACTAGTAGTATAATGAAGGAATTCTACCTTGATACATTTTTAGCATACTATAATATCCTGTACAACTCTATCAAGTATACTATAGGAGATTATAAATATAATTATTATTCTTTAGATAGAAGGTACATATATCAAGTCTATTTAATATCACAAATCTAGATTACCTATTTACTTACCAATTCTCCTATAAAAAATCAAATTCTCTTATCCAAATACTAAAAAATTACATGAACTTACAACTATTGGCAGAAAACTTAAAACTTATTGCTCTAAATTTCTATTTAAATAATTCCAGTAAAGGAAATCCACTATTCAAACCATCACTCTATATTAACTTCCTCTACTATCTTCTCTACAAACTTCTTAACTATAGTTTTTTCCAATACCTTCAAATTCCTTCTTCTCTTTATCAATCTCCTCTATCTGAAATTCTAGAAATTCTACAATATCCTTCAACTAAATAAGCATATTTTTCATAGGTTTATTGTTGCTGACCATCTTACTCCAGGGTTTGATTCTGTATATATGGTTTCTAATACAGGCAATTTCAGAGTAAGGACAGTTGTAATAGTATAAGTCTGAGTTGGCAGTAATGAGACCAGCTCTGTCAGTACTAGTGGATTGTTCTAGAAGGTTGTTGGAGATAGTAGTAATGTTTTTATCCTTATATATACTTTTCTGAATCTCCATCTTCAGTACTACTGTCTTTGTCCTCCTTATCACTATCATTAGATAGGATAGAAATAGAGTAGTAGAAGGAATCTCTGAGGTAATATCTACTCATCATGATATCAAGCTATCATAATAGAATGATTTATGTACGTAGCCCAAAAACTGCATGTTAACAGGAACAATCTTTTTTGTATAGGACATCAGAAACATGCATGCCAATAACCATTATTACCTCTCACTACCTCTTATATATTATGCAATACAAATGGTCCCCCTGTGTTCTACATGATATATCTACTTGTAAATTAATAGAAGCTAAAGACCTGTTTGAATAGGACCATTCTGTTCTGTTCCCCCATCCAAATGACTGTTTTCTCTATTCTAAAAATACCAAGACAACCATTTCCCCAGATAAGGCTCTGCTTGGCGGGAACGGAACCGTTTGTGGCTGTTCTGTTTCAAAATGGTTGTCCATGTAGAAACGGACCACTTCTATTTCATAATAGTTGACTCGGCACATTTCAGAACGGTGGATCTACTCCACTGTTATCGAACACCAGTTCAGTTCCTTCCATTTCGAAATAGAAGGTAACAGTCATTTGTAGGAAAACAGAATGGAATGGTCCACCCAACTACCATTCCCGCGAAATAGGCCCTAATATATTACTCATTGAAGACTTGATACAGTGGGAATTGATTGAATCCAGGAGAAACAAAGGTAAATTTCCTCCATACCTTGCTTGAAGTACCCTGAGAAAATCAATGAAAACAGGATATGCACCCAGCATGGCCATAAGAGGGCCATAGTACAAAGCAACATAAAATTGACAGTAAAAGGGTCTAAAATAGAGCAAAGAAAACAGAAACCATAAGTTGGAAAAGCAACTTATCACCATACCTAAGCGGGCATGACGAATTGATCCTCTTAGAACAGGGAATATATTTCAACTGAAATTTGTGCACATACTCCTATTACTCAAAGGAAAATGATGAGAAATTATTCAAAAGGTTTTTCAATTAGCAACTTGATACCAAAGTCTCCGGAATATGTACGCGCATAGGTTCATATCCCGGCAGTCCTTACGCCCGTTCAGTGGACAGAGCTGACCTTATATACTTATCTCACCCTATCTCCTGCTACCCTAATATTCATATAATATTCATAAACTATCATTGCCTATCTAGCAAGGCACCATACTATGTAATGTAGAGACCAATTTAGCAGTTCCCTTAACCAGCCAAAAAGGACCCTAGAGTGGGCTCCTATAGTGTCTTCCGCCAAAGATCCAGTAGCAAATAGCCCACCATATCACACAGTATTATTCTCTTCACCTCAACCCTTATTCCCACCCGGAGCAACCATCGGCACACACAAAAAAAAAATTAATCTCCGGGCATGATACGATATCGTGCTTTTCTCGTTTGTCTATTTTATTGAAGACAAAACTCTAAATTGACTACACCCTGATTCCCACAAGTCTCCAAGATATGATACTCACCTTACTAGTCAACCGGCCGTTTTGAGTTTATTATGATAGGTCTGCTTCATAATCTGGGTTTCTACATCATATGCCTAAAGATCTACACAAAGGTTATACAGTCCCATTATAGACCCCCAAACAATAAAAGTATTATTTTTAAAAAAAACCCCCTCCGACCAAAATCTCCATACTTCTATTACCCTCCCCAAAAGGGAGGTTTTAAACATAGCCTATTACATATTTTTCCCCAGAACCAAACCCCCACTGATAAACCTCATTCTGCCACAATTCCACGCTTTGCTATGATATCACATTATACTACACCACAAAGCCCATTCCCTATCGGAATTCCTCACCGACACACCCTTCAGCACGGCCTTGGCATCCCCCACATCTCTTCCAAAGTCCTAACCCGAAATCAGCACCGTATGTAGCAGGAACGAGAAAGCCCAAAAGTTAGCCTTCGTGCCGTTATGTGCATCGACCTCCACCCAGAGCACAATCGCCAGATAAACACACAACCATGCGCAACGTTTAAGTTTGGAATGTCACCGCCATGCTCTTCCTCTCACCTGCCCCCCTGAGAAGGGTGCTTAGGGTGGCGACGTGCTACATCATACGGTGGACAGAATTTCTGAAACAGTGGAAATATTCGTTCGAGTGATAAATAATGATGGGGGCGTTTTAACCGTTTGGCCAGGTTTACTCAACCGCAGAGTATGATACTCACCCCAATCACCGCACCGCACCGTACCGTACCGTACCACCCGGTCAGAACCCGTCGGGCGCTCGCACGTTGAAATAAGATTTTTATCCACGCTTTAAATAAAACGCCACACCGGATCATAACCCGTTACGGCTCAGAACAATATCACAATAATAATAACCCTTTCAGGACGCTGACTCCGACGCAATAGTAAAGTCCCAACTTTGTCCGCTTCCCACCTAAGCGTGATATCATAGCCGCTCTAGAGATCCAACCGGATTATACTATACCACATAGTAATTCACGGCAATAATTTTTTCCTTTCCAATCCACTTTGTCGATACACATGTGACGTTGAAGAATGGCATATTAATATCCGCGACTTGAAATACTGGATGTCCGCTAAAGGACTAAAAATCAGATGATGAAAGTCTCTTCCATAATATCACATTCTGATCTGGGCTCAAATAAAAATTGGGCCAGTTCCACACATACACACACACCCCAAAATATATATATTATGAATTTATGATATATTCAAAATAATAATAATAATAATAATAATAATAATAACTTCCTAACGGAGGATGACAGTATTTCAAACGATGTAGTGCGCGTGCCGAGACTCATTTCCCAGACCCAAAGTCATAAATCCCGAACGAACAGTTTTTTTTACCGGGGCAAGAATGTGGGAGACAGACAGACGTACAGACAGGTTTTCAGAGACCAATTCGTACCATACTGTACTGCACCCACCGACAAAATTCAGAACTTGAAAAACTAAAAATCTCGTGAGGGTGGTTTACTATTCCAGCCAGCCAAATACATGTTCTTCCTTCCCCAGTATGCTTTCGTAATATCAAAGGGGGATTTTTTATAAAAAAATTAAAAAATTCAATTGCATATCACCCAGATCAAGGCTAAAGGACCAAATTTCTGCGTACTGTACAGTGCACGACCGTGCCTCATTCATAGAGGGGCCAAAATGCACACGACCACCATCTATCTCTCCGCCTCAACTCCACACCAGTTCGAGTCGGCCAAAATGATCGTTTCCAGCGGTCCGGTTGGGCTATCGTAGGACCACCCGCCCGAATTACCAAGTTAACCTCTTCTATCCCGCTCCCGAAGGAAAATCCCACATGATTACAAGCAGAATGTGCGAGTCCCTACAAGTATCATATACAGCAATTATAGACAGGCAGGCATCTAAAACCAGGAATAGTATTACCAGTAACAAGAGTCCAGATCCAAATTCGGCCGCACGAACAAACAGAGGCGTATGATAGTTACCTTTTTTTTTTTTTTGCTGTTTTCGCTGGACCACGGGTTGTTACCATGTACCTCGCGCTGGAAAGTACTCGTACCGTACAGTACCGTACGGCATGATATCACACCCCACCCGGCCCACCAACCAATTCAAGAAGTCCGCAGTGAACCGCCAAGGAGTCCCGGGCCGTCCAAAGACTATCATAGTGTATGATGATACCTTAGACAATCCTGTCTCTCGTTGTCCTCGCCCCGTCCCGGACCGACAGTAAGGGTACTGTACCGCACTAGCTAGGAGCACGAATCATAACCTTATCCTGACGCTCCCCATGTCTCACTAGACGGGACGCGCCGATACCCCCACGGCTATTCCCCACCAGTGTTCACACCGGTACTGAATGATACTCGCATATCAAATCGTGGCTATATATATCGGGTCATAAGTCAAGTCAGAACGTTCCATTTTCTTCCTTCCTTCCTTCTCCCTTCCCCTTCCCTCTCTCCGCTCCTGCTGGCCGAAGCAACAGACACCGCAGCTAAGAAAGGTCGGTCAAGGTGTCCTGGTATGTCATTCGCGAGACGTGACCTTTTTCTTATGTCATATCATAGCTCCTCTATTTTTGATGATAAGGCACACCCGGGTATACCGCCCTACTATTAGGGCCCACGGAGCACGCAGTTCTGGGAGTTTAGTTTTTTTCTTAAAATTTAATCATAGTTTCATTTTTCAAAGCACAGTATTATAGCATGCAGGAAAATTCCCACGGCGTGAAAAAAAAAACCCTCTAAAACAAAGACCCAGAAAGGAAATGAAATAAAATAGAATAAAATAAACATCTTCGAAATCCCCCAAGCCATGGCAACTACTTCCTCCGCGCAATAACTTGTGATCAACCATAAAGGTGAAGAAACCCAAGTATATTTCACGAAATTCATCAGCGGAAATGATCAAAGCAAAGAGGAAAGCCATAAAAACGTAAGAAAGTACTCGGCCATAGAGGTGGTGCATGGTTTCCTATGTGGTGGAGGAGGAGGAGGAGGAGAGGGCACGAGCATTCAGCATGCTAGGAGGGTGCCCAGTAGCCCAACGCTGGGGGAGGGTGGGGAGGGCGGTAGTCCCTTTTTTGTACCAAACCAGTATCCCCCATACACTTCCTGGATACCGGTATCATATTCAAAAACACAAACCCAATCCTCCACCACCCTTTTCCAAGCTACCCAAGCTCTCTCCCATCCCAGGATGAACCCTCCCAAACTGGCTCATTTAATCTACTAGCAGAATCAAAACCCACAGCCATCCAGCGCAGAGGCTTCCGGCAAGCCTCCCCCCCCCGTTCACCCTCATATCGCAAGAGCGCGAGAAGCACACTAACAAATCAAAGTAGCCTTTATCAGCGTAGCGGTATCCGATAGGGTGCTGTGTGAAACCCTTAAAGCACCGCCGTCCACACATAGTGTTCCCAGCGGTCGGGCCGTTGATCCCCGCAATGTGAACGGTGCCATCAGTTGCTGTCCCGAATTCTGCTCCCGGCGAGGGATCCTCCTATGTCGAGTGGTTATGATGTCTCGAACGGTATGACCGAAACAAGCGGGAGGGTGGGGTGGGACTCCCCTTTTGTCGGGAGAAATAAGTCGTGTAATATGTATGCCCCAAGTTTACACAAGTCCCGAGTATGATAACGGTTGGCGAGATACCGGTACCATAGCCCGTCAAGTGACCCCCCCCCCCAAAAAAAAAAAAACTAAACATCACCAGTTCACCCCAAAAGAGCATGGTATGCATCATACCACGGTACGCAGCAACAGCGCACGAGTGACATCTCGTGATAAACTTATCGCCCCCACCCCTTCACAGAAGAACCTAATCTGGGCACCGGACAGTGCCGGCTCAGTCTCAAAGTCCTAGAACGGGAAAATTGGGGAAAGTAAATGTCAGTGAGGTAGAGTGGTGTCTGCGGCATTAGTGCTTTTGCGGGGGGGTACCGGTAGGGCTTTTTCTCGCCAAGATATCATACCGCCTAGAACCAAACCTCGGGGCGCGGCTACAGCACTGGTACAGTACGCGTTTCCCAGAGGAGGGGGATTTGAGGTCAGTAATTCCCCAGCCGTCCCCAATACCTCAGTTCCTCACGCTTCATCTCAGGCGAGGCATTCAAGCCCCCGACCACTAAGCGCGTTATTCTTGGGGAGAATAATTCAACGCTGGTCTTTTACTTGTGCCCGAATTAGGTTATGCGCCATATATACACCCAAAAAATCGGGGCTTTATGGAGCTAAACTTAATTCGAGAGCAAGTACTTGTATATCGACGTCTACCATCTTATCCGAGTGATCACATGTGATGACTGAATCGTGTCCTCCGTCATCCCCAAAATAAAAAATACCTGAAACCAGAAATTTTAATTTATTGATTGCCCAAATCAGGGCGTAGTTAAAAATAGAATATATGGAAAAAGGCCATTTCCCAAAACCGCAGACACTCCCCAAGATGGAACCATGTTCTCGAGTTTACCTCCTATCAGAAGTGTACGCGCAAGAGCCCATGTCCAACTCCGGGATCGGTGCGCCGGGTGATATGTCAAAGTCGAAAATGTCCATTGGGATACCCATGGTTGTGCACGCGTTTGGAATCTATCATTCTCAGTCAGCACCGAATCATACATCGCCGCCTAAATCTATCTTACGTCAACGATTCCAGCAACGTGTCCCTGGACCGGGGCGCAAGACAACAGCAGATAAATCTGCTCACCCGAGTATCCAAACCTTCTCAAATATTCAATTACCCTAAGGCACGTCTGCCTGTAAGCAACTGTGACATCCATGTAATGCTGTCTTCCAGTCTCATCCACAGAGAACCCCTCAAAAGTGAGCATCCGGCTGGGACTGAAGTGTGGCTCCACAGGGCCGGGGCAGAAGATCGGACTCTTCATATCAAGATCTTGAATACCCCCCTTCATAAGCCCAAACTTAAAAGTTATGATTCCAGCCATTTCGATAGCGCCGCAGAAGCTAATCTCCCCATCGCCCTGCGAGAAGTGCAAGTCCCCCACAGAGAACTTTGCACCGGGGACGTGCACCGGGAGGTAGGTTTTTGACCCTCTACTCAAATTCTTGATATCGCAGTTCCCACCGTGCTCGGGACGTCCGGGGATGGTTCTTGCCCCTTCTCTACCAATCCTCGCTTTCAGGTCCTCGGAAGCGGAACCTGCGTGAACGTTCTCAGGCTGTGGGAGTAGGGCTACTACCCGGCCAGGAGCACTCGCGGCGACCAGCTCAGATTCCCTGCGGTTCCACTCTGCTAGGACACCGGCAGATGGTGCGCAGCCCATGATTCCTGGGTGTATTAGGCCTGGGAATCGAACGTGCGGGATATGCCTGGATGAGCAGAAAATGCCTTCAAAGTCCCAGATTGCTTTTGTAGCCGTTAGCTATGAGATAGGTAGGCAGAAGATAGCAGGAAGGAGCATCTACCTCACCTTTTGCGGCCCGTGGGTAATGGTCGTCCAAGAATCCGCCTCCATTATGCCTGTCGAATACGGCGGTGAACCCCCATGGCCTATCTTCGAATGGCTGCACATCTTGAATCTCAACAACCAAGACGTCACCGGGATCTGCACCTTTAATCTCGAAGGGTCCAGAGAGATAATGTGGCTGTGTAAGGTCACAGTCCCTCGCGTCGTCTGCGCAGTCATCGTTTTTGATTTGGCCGCCAGAACAGTCAACGCATTCCACCTTTACAATTTCTCCTGGAGCAATCTTTCCAACAGCGGGAACTATGGCAGTTAGCACACAGCAACCCAAGGATCAAAGTATGAAGCGGTAGATTACTATCTGGATGCCAGCGGTTCTATGCATTCATTAGTCTCCTGCCAAAAGCCCAAGAGAATTGAATCTCACGTGAAAGTATGGTTGTTTTTGGGCAGGCCTGCCAAAGTCCACCTTCAAGGCAGTTCGAATCGGCCCAGTACCCATGGTGAATTCTGTGAAAAAAGGAGTTTAACCGGAGATACGGTGTATTACGAGGAAAGCCTGTTGGCAATGGGTTCCAGACAAAAGGGTACTTCTCAAACCCCTTTATACTCTCTAATCCAGACAATCAGAACTCGCGATTCAACGGAGAGGAATGAGCGGGGTAGACAAGCCACCCCATCCCCCAACCCGAGTCTCGGCTCCTACCGCACGGGCCGAGAAACAATGACAAACAAACACATCCCCATCTAGGCTCTTCCCCCACCCCAGAACTTATCACATCACATCACATCCCAAAAAAAGTTACCTGGTTTTCCATCTGGAGCTTCTGTTATCGGCTTATGACAAGTGGTCTCACCCCAACATTGTCCGTCAAAAAAGCAAAGGGGGGCAGCCACGCGCCGAAAGGATCGTAGATTGGCCGGAAGACCCAGACCGGCCAGAGGTATTCAGCCCCGGGGTTGAGAAAGTGCTTTTCGAGAAGCAGGTTTCGATCCTGGAGCAGGGCGCCTCTATTCGAAGCGTTTACCGAGGTGTCATTTCGACCATGGGGGCGGGGTGACCTTGGCCATGGAGGACGGATCCCTCCAATTCAGAGGGTTGTAGTAAGCAGGATTCAGTAACCCGAGGTTTCCGAATAAGAATTATGTCGCAGAGTGCAAGGATGGTCATGACAAAACCCTGGAACCTCAATACACAATTATGATTGCAGTATCATACTACCGCAACATCTGATTCAAGTACTGGTTGTAATCCAGAGCACAGGACTGACACTGTAACTCACGAGAACCCAAAGTATGATGACCCCCTATGTATCCCATACTTGCCGTACCCCCAGAAAATATCTCACCGACAAGCCGCCGGGAGTGCCAGCTGAACCACCACAAAAAGTCCTCCCACAGCCTCTCAGAGGAATCAGTACTCGACATGGCGATGAATGCCCCACCGTCCCGGTGCAATCGACGGATGGCCACGATTAGCCTATCATGACATATCGTAAAAGTCCAACAAAGTTAAAGTGGAAGAAGCCCCGTACAACCCAGCAAAGGAGAGAGAGCATCAACAGAGAAAAACGCTAAAGTATAGCAATTGCTTGTGATAGATCTCTGCAAGGGGCAAACCGTGACCGAGAATGGTTGGTAATTTACCAGAGATCCTCAGAACTCCCAACAAAGAGTTTTTAGAATAGGGAATTCTGAGTCCTGCCCAGGTGATTCTGAATCCGGAATCGAGTGATCTTGAATGACCCAATGCAACCCTCCGCGCGCGTCACCGGATCCACCGCCAAAACTCCCCAAACCCTGAACAAACCAACCTCCAAACCCGCCCCAAGGCATTCCCATCGCACTATCCCGCATTCCACTCCCACTACTCCTGCCGCCACTAACGGCTAGCAAAAAAACCTCCTGAAAAAAGGATTCCGTCTTCAGAAAAAAAAGCACAAAATCGCCTCTCCTTCTATCCTGTGCGCGCCCATCAAAACAAACTTCATCCACCAGCGACACGACAATGCCGCCAACTCCACCCTCTGACTCGGGCACTGGCAAGAAGGCCTCCAACCCAATCGCTCCCCGTTCCCGCCTTTCAAAAACAGGATCGATCGCCCGCGGCTCTACTTCTGCATCTGCCTCGTCTCTTAGCTCTAAAACTTCAAATAACGCGCACACCCGCAGTGGTAGTGGCGGGACCCGGAAGCCAGCAGGAACAGCAGCGGGGAGTATTCTGACAACTGGCTCAATGGGACCCCCAGTTGGAAAGAGGCCCGTAAACGAAAAGTTTGACAACTTGTTTTTTAAATCCCCCGTTCCACGGGTAAGTCCTCTCCTTTCCCCCTTTCTGTCGGAGCGATTGAAGATGGGTGAGGGGCCAGCTATCGAGGTGGATCGAGGTAAGGGACCAGCTAACCTAATGATGAACCCCTGTGCAGGCTATAAGCAAACTCTTATCGAATTCCCAATCTGCCAGTAGCACTGGCAACGGCTCCACGGTACCAAGCTCTCTACGCAGGAGCATTGGCGCAAGTCCCAGTACTTCCGCTTCTGCAACTACTGCCTCCACCACAGCTGCCGCCGGCTTGAAAAAGGCCAGGGGCGTAACAACAAAGAGGCCTGCCACGACCACTCCTGAGAGCACCGGACAAACCCCAAAGCGTCCCACCAAACCTACTACCGCCGTCACCACCACCACCGCCCCAGGAACCAACGGAACCGTGCCCGTAAACTTCACCCTGCCAAACGACGGCCAGGAACGTACCCTACCAACACCAATGGACGAACCTGGCGACGACGACGGCGAAGACATAATCCCCTCCAGGGTAAGTATTAAACCGACACCAAAGCTGCGGGCAAGGGCAAACCTAAGATCATCTGTCATCCCCGGAACCCCGGAGAAGCTACCCATCACGACAAGAACACGCCCAGTGCGCGGGGCGAATGGGAAAGAGACCAAGGGCGCGAGGCAAGCTCAGAAGGAGAACGCAGAGAAGAAGGCTGTGGAGTCGCCCAAAGGCGTCATGAGGAATACCGCGAGCTCCAGAGCTCGCGCAGCTGCGAGTTCTGGTGCAGGCGCGAAGAGTGGTACAAAGGCTGGAGAGATGCAGGCGGGACGGACGTCTGCTGCTTCTGTTGGGACTGCCGCTGTGGCTATGGCTATGCCGACCACACCTGCCGCCCCTCTTCCTCCTCGAGAAACAAGAAGTTCTGGACTATCTTCCTCATTCAAGAGCCAGGTCAGAGACCATATCAACGCATGGGCAGAAGCGCAGAAAAAAATATCCCCAGAGCTCGGGCCTGAGCCTGCGAAAGAGAAGGATACCGAGAAAGGAAGAGCAATACTGCCGACTCCAGAAGTACACATCCCAATCCCCGCCCGCTCTTCCGCCGCCAAAAAAGTAATCCCCTCCCCTCCCTACCTAACATGCATACTACAAACAAAATACTAACATCCCCCCCGCAGCGCAACCCCCCTCCCCCTCCCCCATCCCCACCAAAGCCAAAGACGGTCCGGAAGCCCCACCCCTCAACACTAACCCCTGGCTTCGCCGTCCCGCCCGGAATCCTGGACGAGACAGGCTCGCTCTGGGACAGCGGGCGCAGGAAATCTCGTCGTTCCATCGGCACCCCCACCTCCACCACTGCCACTACCCCTATAACCAACGCACGCAGGCGCATGACCATCGCCAGCGGGAGCGTCGTGAGCACTAGCGCCGCGGACGCGAACATCAACGGGAATGGAAAGCGCAAGAGTATGGGCGACACAGATGTCGGGCCGGCTGGGAAGAAGGCTAGGGTTTCCGATCCAGAGGCGGCGGAGGCACCGAATGGAGGTACAGTCGGGGGTGAGAATAGGAGCAAATCTGTCTCCGCAAAGAGAGGGAAAGGAGGAAAGGGCAAAGAGAAGGTTTATGTCAATACGGATTTCGAGTTTTCTGATATCGAGGTATGAGTATGTTATGTATATTACGGTAGTAGGTAGTCTGCATTGTTAAGTAGGCAGTCTATTGATAACTTGCCTGTAAGCTTGTTATAACGAAGGACAAGCAAGTGGATATAAATGGGCTCTCTTGGCTATGTACGGTAGCTAAATACCAATAAGTTCTTTCTAGCAATGAGAAAAAGATGAAGCCAAATAATAAAACTTCTCAGAAACTGAAAATAGCAAAAGGGAGATGTTCGAGTACCATAGCATATCAAACCAGCCATTCCATTTGCGTAAGAGAAACAATTACATGAAAGACTCCCCCCCCAATCATTGAATCAAACACGCCTATAATACATGATAAATGCCCACGAAGAAAAAGAGGAAAAAAAGACCAAGTTTCAAACAAGTTTATCGAGTCTGAATTTGTGATCGCAATCCGAAATCAAGGGAAGAGGGAAAAGTGACTAGAAAACACCAGCGATAACCACCCATAAGATTTATTCGATCAACCAATCGATCTCCCGTATCCCCCCCGCTTCCTACTGCATCCCTAATTCCCAGATCTTTTTCACATTTCCGCACAAAAAAAAACGCACCCAGGACCGATCCCTAAAGAAACAAGACAAAATGCGTTGATTGCACGGAATTATTTTTATTTGAAACCGAAAATTGAAGTTTACAACTCCTGAGATGCCCCCTTGGCCCCCTTTCCAGACTTCTTTGGGAGAAGGTTCTGGTGAATGTTCTGGAACAAAGTCAGTATTGACGCATATTCAATATGCAAGCAGGATAAAACTTACGGGTAGAACACCACCTTGGGCGATGGTAACATGACCAAGAAGCTTGTTCAATTCCTCATCATTGCGAATGGCAAGCTGGAGATGACGAGGAATGATACGAGTCTTCTTGTTATCACGGGCAGCGTTACCAGCCAACTCGAGAATTTCGGCTGCGAGATACTCAAGAACGGCGGCGAGATAGACGGGAGCACCGGCACCAACACTAGATTCAAACATTAGGCCCCAAAATCCCCCTACGAAAAAGAAAAAGATAGCTCCAAAAAAAAAAACCCCCGCCGGAATGAGTTGACCAACCGTTGAGCATAGTTTCCCTTCCTCAAAAGACGATGAACACGGCCAACGGGGAAAGCGAGACCGGCCTTGGAAGAACGGCTATCAAGATTGAAGTTAGAAATCAAAGTCACAAAATAAAAATAAAAATGCAATTCGATTTGAAAATCCGAATCCAAAAATCAAACTCGAAAAAACATCGTGAAGTCACAATACATGTGAAGTTTGAAAATCAGATTCAGAAATCCAAAAAGCAGAATCCCTTACCTCTGAGAAGGCTTGCCGCTGGCAGCTTTTCCACCTTTACCTCCGGAAGACATTTTTGACGTTGAGTTTGGGAGTTTTTTTGAAGTTTGTAAAAAGCGTTGGTGAGCGAAATTACGCGTTAGAGGCGGTATGTAGCTGTGAGTTGGTGAGTGTTGCGGTGAGGTTGAAGAACAGATGGACGAGGGAAGGAGAGGGAAAGAAAGATGTGGGCGATGGAGTAGCCTTTATACCGCTGAGTTGAGGCAGGTTGCATCACACTCAGTTAGCGACAGGGGGGGTGTAGGGGTACAGTTAGGGTGGTTGGTTGGTTGCTAGGGGAAGGAAAAACGCGACCGTGACAAATGTTTTTCTTATCTTTTCTTCATTTTTTATTTTCATTTTCATCGAGATCCACAGTCAGACCGAACGACGGTAGACTACGGTACGGCAGGCTCACTCTGAATGGGTTAGGGGTGATGCACCTATGGAATGAGCCCATTGGTTCCAGAGGGTCGGGGAGAGTGTGGGTCGCGCTTCGGCTAAGGAAATTGGGTAAGGATTGTGGGAGTGATAATGCGCGAAGGCGATGTTGAGCTGCTTCCATCACGGGGGCTGGAGAGGGCTCGCACAGCATTGGCACCCCAGCCACACCCTTCCACACGCGTACCCTACATACCGATGCGCAACCCTCGTCACGCAACCGAAACCTTGTTGATGCCAACCAAGCTGGTTGTCCCTATATAAACCCGTCGCTCCCACGGCTCGACTTATTGCTCTTTCTCCCTCCGTCCACACACAACCACCCCTCTGTTCTTCAACGTCTTGATCTTTCGCACACGAACCACCTGAACCTAACCAAAAAACCTAACACTTCGAATCCAACTTCAAAAATGGCACCAAAAGCTGCTGAAAAGAAGCCCACCACCGCCGGAAAGGCCCCTGCTGGAAAGGCCCCTGAGAAGAAGGTTTGTTTTCTCACCCCATTTCCTCGCTTAACTTGTCCGGCCTTCGAAAGTGAAGGTTTTTTTTCCTTTTCGGTTTTTTTTTTGGATTTTAAAATCCGCTCTTTCTTCCTGAATTATATGCGATTGATCTTTGGATTGATGGATCTTTAACACTGAGTCTTGACAGGAGGCTGGAAAGAAGACCGCTGCCGCCAGTGGTGAGAAGAAGAAGCGCACCAAGACCAGAAAGGAGACTTACTCCTCGTACATTTACAAGGGTTTGTCACACCCGGACTTTTCCGATTTCGATTTTGAGTCATTTTAACTAACGTGATTCAAAATGCAGTCTTGAAGCAGGTCCACCCTGATACCGGTATCTCCAACCGTGCTATGTCCATCCTCAACTCGTTCGTCAATGGTTAGTCCCCCCTTGTTTTTCCCCTCTAGATCCAATTCCGATTCTGACTTCAATAGATATCTTCGAACGTGTTGCTACTGAGGCCTCCAAGCTTGCCGCGTATAACAAGAAGTCTACCATCTCTTCCCGCGAGATTCAGACTTCGGTTCGCTTGATCCTCCCCGGTGAACTTGCCAAACATGCCGTCTCTGAGGGTACCAAGGCTGTTACCAAGTACTCTTCCTCCACCAAATAAATTGTTCAACTAGGCATTTATCAAAAATGGGAAACCTTTTTACTTCTGGGCTTATCCTTTCAATTCTTTTTTTCACTTACATCTGTCGCGGGGGTATGCGGGAAAGAGATTTGAGACATTAGGAGCGGCTCTCTGTTTTCTTGTCTAATTATACTTTTTTTTTTCTCAAAGTGGGGTCTTTGGCAATCGGTTCTCTTATATCTTTTCGGGGGCATGTTTTGTCTTCAATGGTTTTGTTTTTTCGGGGTCATGCGTTCTGTACATTAACGAAATGCCGGTTACTGGGTTCTTCTGAGGTATGCTTTGTGCCCCTATGAAATCTCCGATTACCACTTTGTATCTGGGTGTGCTATGATATGTTGCGAATTGTGGAAGGAGACGAGCTGGATAGCTTTTTTTTTTTTATTTTTATCTTTGTGTGATATCCGATGATTAGGAGTCCGCTCAATCTCTGTTTCTCTGGGCTAAATCTCGATGTTGCTTGCATTATATAAGCTCGTTCGTTTGCAGGGTCTGTGTGCTGGATGGGATGGGCGGATTGGATTGGATTGAAATGATAGATGAATTCTTTTTTTTTTTTACGAAAAACTTTGGCAACAAGAAATGGTGGATGTTTAGAGCTTCTAGCCATTGGAGCCCTTATCTTATTTTTTACCCCGGCGATGTGGACCCCGATTCGCACACATAGGATCTCACGTCCAGCCACGTATCATCCCACCTAGATTACATCCACAGCATCGGCCCGCAGGCATCATGAATTCCAATGCGGCAGTGGAATCGTTGTACTGTACCGCACGGGTACTGTACCCAGTCGAGACGTTGAGGTGTGGCGTGATGGTCCAATTCAACAACCTTAGCAGGAGTCGCTGAGACTAAAACGTAACGCAACTGTACCGGCACGGCAGGTAGCCCTCAGAGAGTAGTAGTACAGTATGGTAAGGTACCTGGCACCGCAGATCTAGGGAACAGGCAACCGACAGACAGACGAACGACGGACACAGGAACCCCCCCCAGCTATCTCCGATCCTCCAACCCGCTGGGCCAGGAACCTATAATCATGTAGAACAGGTTAGTTCGGCACAGCAGCTCACGGTTCATACGGATATGTTTCTATGGTAGCGCCGTATCGCAGGTTACCAAGTCATAACTGTGATCAGAAAGGGTGCATGTATTGTACTGGCGGCCGAGTTGTTTCGATTTCAATCAATCGCAGTCCTTGAAAATAATTCATCCCGGGCCGTTACTGTCGGTTGGGGGAGGGGGGGTTCGTATCCTACGTGTTTTCGCTCTGGATTGGATTGGATAGTCCGTGAGTTGGGTGTTTACCTTGGTGTTCTGACGAGGTTTGCTTGTTGGAGAAGTAGATATCGAGTGATCGTCTGTGATCTTGAATTCCTTGGACTACAAAAGTCATGATATGGGTTGGTTTGGGCTGGGATTAAGTTATCATACCACCTGTGAGGTTTTTTTTTTTTTTTTTGCTTTCTCTCTCAAGATCTGGTGGATGAGTAAATTGTGTGCTGTTGCCTACTGGTATTATAGTATGATAGCATCGTAGGTGCGAAAACTGATGAGCATACGGTAAATCGGTGGGGCACGGTAGTTTAGGTCAACGCGTGACGCGTTCCCCCCTCCCCGCCACACCACACCAACGTGCCGCCGCGACGAAGAACGCGTCGCACCCGGGTGTCAGCACTAATTTACTCATTCATTGACTCATTTTACTCTCCACTCACAAACACCGGGTTACCGTGCGAAAAGCGACAAAAGTTCTCTACAAGGGGAGAGAAGATGTTTCCGGGGACTGGGAGGAAACGGTTATTTCCTTTTCCCTGTTTTTGTACGTGCGATTGTGCTGATGGTACGATAGTGCTCCTCCGCGAACGACGTATTCTCGAAAGGACACCTTATTAACCGGCACTGCCAAGAGACGACGCCGGACTGAGGATCTCGGTGGGAATGGGAGTACAAGCACGAGCACAAACACCCCATCTCCAGGTACAGGTCGGAGTTCTTCTATTCCCGCTCCTTCGGACGACGACGGTGGCAATCTCGGAACCGAGGGGATTGCCTCCTCCCCTCCTCCACCGCCGGCAAAGAAGCCCTTCACCGGTTTCTCCGTGAAGACCCACACAAGCACTAATACTGCCGCTTCCACCACCTCCCGCCGCCGCAGACAACCGGAACAGCAGCAAAGAAAGCTAACCCAGCTGAAAATTGACCTGGGCCAGCCGCAACGCGCCACTTGCCGAATATGCGGAATGTCATACTACCCGTGCACGCCCGACGACGACGCTTTACACAGGCGTTTCCATGCCAAGTCTGTCGGCGGGGTCGATTTCAAGAGCACCGTTCTGGATGCTAAGAAGAGTAAGGTTGTCTGGAGAGGGAGGGAGGGGGAGCGGGAGGAGGATTCGTTTGTGCTCGTTGTCGATCGGAAGAGCGCTGCTGCCGAGAGGAGGAAGGCGAGGGAAGTGTTGGAGGTTGTGGAGTCGGAGCTTTCGGCTGGAGAGATTGGGGAGGGTGTGCTTTGGGGGAGTGTTGGAGTGGGGGGAGGAGAGGGTGATGGGGGGGAGAGGTTCAGGGTGCTGTTGTACGTGGTTGGGAAGAAGTGTGTGGGGTTGTGTCTTGCCGAGAGGATTCAGAGGGCCTACCGGGTTGTTGGGGATGAGGTTCAGAGTGACATGGATGGGGAGATGAAGAGTGTGGTTTATAGGGGAAGTTCGATTTCGGTTTCGTATGTTCTCATTTCTACTTTCCATCCATCTTGTGCATTCTATGTTGATGATGGATTTTCTCGTAGCGAAACTTCCCGCCCCGCTATCCTCGGTGTATCCCGTGTATGGGTTTGCGCAGACCATCGTCGCCGAGGCATTGCTACCAGACTGCTGGATTGTGCGCGAGAGCACTTTATCTATGGCATGAAGATTGAGAAGGATGACGTTGCATTTAGTCAGCCGACTGAGAGCGGTGGAGCGCTTGCTAGGGGGTGGTTCGGAGCGGATAAGGCGCATAATTGGGCGGTTTACGTTGAGGAGGTATAAATAAGTGTGCATCACATGGCATTATTATGGAGTTCTGGGTCATTGTTCAGGGGGAAGTATACCGCTAGAGGGGTGAAACTTGTTAGAGTGAGGGGTTATGATTTATGACTGTTATGTCGATGTCTTCGTTCCTTCGGATATTACATTATATGTACGGGGATTGGACGGGTTGTCTCTGAATAGGTAGAGATGTATAATAGGTCGCGGGTAGAAGCGGTATACGACTTTACTCTCTGCATCAAGGGTAATAATGCTATCACAGTGGCTGTAGATAAATCTGGTCCTTCCGCTTGGATTGTATCTGTGTGCCGGTAACCGTTGGTCTGTTGTATATACACAGCTGAGCCCATACTAGTTCTACAGATATCCCGTGTTTTTCTTAACGTAGAGGGACCGGGGCTGCCTAGAGTCAGTATAGGTTTGACCTGTCGGGGAGATAGACGTACGATCGGTAAAGGGAGGCGGAATGTTTCGTTCGTACTTAGAGCCTGGGAACTCGTGAGAAACCGAGCATGCACAACGGGAACACTCTCAAGATTCGATAGTTACCTCCAGGGGCAGTCGGGGCCCTATACGGATCCGGATGCTTCCATCTCTCCAAAGCTTCTTCCGCTTCCTGAAGAATGATCTTTCACAGCTCAGAATGTCAGCCCTCCATCCATCCATCCGAAAGCGAGGAAGCGAGCCTCCATACCCTCAATTGTCGAGGCTCCCTGACGTCCCGGTTTGCTTCAAACAAATCTCGGATATTGAGCGCCTGGGATCTCCAGATGTCCCTTCGGACACACCAGTCTAGCGACAACTTGAGACTACGGCGGTACAGGCTCCTGTGGAAGAATAATAATTATTGTTAGCCATGGGATTGGGGCGTAAAGTAGCGGAAGGTTGAACAAACTCACTTGACTACGGATGTGGTAGCCATGATTGATTTCCCTTTCAAATGGTTTGATGGGAACCTGCTGATGATGAAGTTGGATGTGTCCCCCCTCTACAAACACCGCGCTTAGTAATCTATGAGGGATGATATTCGATGGACAACGGGTGCTACCGGTAACAGTATCAGACCCCAAGTATTTAACAATCTATAAAGTGATCGGACTCTGGAGCATTATTTTGCATATGAGCCGTGCGGGGGAGATCACCTGACATCTGAATACTTTCTGAATCGCTAAAGAAGACCACCACCAAACGTGTGCGGCCTCGGCCCCGGAAAAAGGACTTCTTGGCTTGCAGACGGAATTCTCTCATCGCGCATCTCTCGTTCCCTTTCGTCCTTTCTCTCCAACGCACTCAAGTCTCCGCACTACAAGTTTGTTGCAGGAAAACGGGAAAACAGGTCTAAAAAGTTACAGCGTACCCTCCTTACCCACTTCTGATCCTTTTCCACCCCCCTCCCCCTTTCGTTCCCTCTGATCCCTTTTTTCTTTTGCACATTCTCCACCACCCACACACGCATCACAGAGCATACAGGATCTGGCATCTCTTCCTTTGTTTCCAGTTTTCTTTTCACTTCTCAGGGATAGATCATGGCTTGTCGTGGATTGGCTATGCGTCGCTTGCCTCTGGTAGCTGCTCCTTGTGCTCCTCACATGAGCATTGCGGCTCTCTCCGCTACTTCCGTTTCCTCATGTCGCCAAGCTTCAGTACGGTCCTTTTCACGGCTATCACGGTACAATGGTGGACTTTTGGGAAGTGCTGCTGGGTTTGTGTGCTTTCCTTTCTTTCTGGTTTACGAATATTAATCTCTTGTGATACCGGGTTGGGTTGCTTATTTTTATTTATTTCTCTTCTCCACGTTTATAGGAAATCGCAACGGTTTGTTAATGCATCATCGATCTTCAATGCCCAAGTCCGATCTTATGGTTCGTTCAAAGACAAATATTAGAAGGGCTCATTTATGAGTCAATATAAGCTTCAGTATACTAATTTGAGGCATTTTTTTTCACCATCCGGTTCTGCAGCGGATAGGATTGTCAAGGTTCCCGCAATGGCCGAGTCGATTTCGGAGGGTACACTAAGGCAATTCCTCAAACGTAACCATCCTCTTGTGTGGACTTTTTAACATTTCTACTGACAAGCGTAGAGGCTGGAGACTTTGTGCAGCAGGATGACGAGATTGCAGCCATCGAGACAGATAAAGTGGGTGTTTGCTATTAGCGGCCTCCGGAAAGGTGCTGGTGTTGATGTCTTTTTAGATCGATGTCGTTGTCACTGCTCCAGACGCAGGTACACTCACTGAATTTTTCGTCAAGGAAGAGGATACCGTCACCGTTGGCCAGGACCTCTTCAAACTGGAGCTCGGGGGAGAGCCGAAGGCACCAGCGGGTACTGCTCAAGAGGCCGGAAGCAAACAGGAACCTCCTGAGGAAGATTATGAGGAGAGCGGGTCGATGTCAGAGACAAAGCAAGAGCCTGGTCCTCCATCTTCTCCTGCCTCCGAACCTCCCAAGCAAGGGCTCGGCAACCGCGAAGAGAAGCGTGTGAGTGGATACATGGAAAGCCAGAATGTTTGGGCAGCTGGAGGTTATTGACTGACTCCGACCAGGTGAAAATGAATCGCATGCGTCTCAGAATTTCAGAGCGCCTGAAACAGTCCCAGAACACCGCTGCGTCCCTGACAACATTCAACGAAGTAGACATGTCTGCCCTCATGGAAATGAGGAAACTGTACAAAGACAAAGTCCTTGACAAGACTGGTACCAAGCTTGGTTTCATGAGCGCGTTCACTCGGGCTTGTGTTCTCGCCTCGAGGGATGTCCCGGCCGTCAACGCCTCAATTGAGGGGCCCAACGGCGGCGATACCATTGTGTACCGCGACTATGTCGATGTTAGTGTTGCTGTTGCGACTGAGAAGGGGCTTGTTACACCCGTCGTGCGGAATGCGGAAGCCTTGGACTTTGTGGCAATTGAAAAGGCCATTGCCGAACTGGGCAAGAAGGCGAGGGATGGGAAACTCACCATAGAGGATATGGCGGGTGGAACTTTCACCGTGAGCGCACCTACTTTTCCGAGGCTATCGTCAGTTTATACTAACGCCACTTTTCCCCCCCTTCTCAGATCTCTAATGGTGGTGTCTTTGGGTATGAACTACGCTTCCGACAACAAGAAATTAGGCTTTCTGACCCGTTGTGACAGCTCCCTTTACGGTACTCCCATCATTAATCTTCCACAAACCGCTGTTTTGGGGCTTCACGCCATCAAAGACAGGCCTATTGCCGTTAACGGGATAGTCGAGATAAGACCGGTACGGACAGCCATCCTAAGATTTCCTAAACACGTGCTGACAGCCTCAACAGATGATGTACCTCGCCCTCACCTACGATCACCGCCTCCTCGACGGCCGCGAGGCAGTCACCTTCCTAGTAAAGGTCAAGGATTACATCGAGGATCCCCGCCGCATGCTGTTGGGTGTTTAATTTTGCCGCGCGGTTACCCCTCTCTGGCTCCTATCCCGAGTCGTCTCATTTCTCCACTCGTGTGCCTGGCCTCTCGCAAAGTCCCCACGTTGCTACCATACTGTCGCTTGGTAGGCTCTTCTTTTTTTTTTTTTTTTTTGCCGCCGGCACTTTGTATCTAAACATTTTGCTTCATTGAGTGATTTTTTATTATTCACTTGCAAAAAAAAATTACATGGAGGGTTACTTCGACTTACGTGCGAGTGATTTCTCATGGTTTGATACTCGAGTAGTTGTAAATCTCGAGATAATAGTGTAATCGGCTGCGTGATTGGCTGCTCTACCGGGAAAATGCCGGAAACGGGGTGGTATGATTCGGGCATGACCTAACTTCAACAATGATCGGCGGGGGTTATGCTGAACTCGGAGGCTGACAGCTGACCAATGCAAGCCTGCTCTATTTGTCATCGGGTTATACTACGAGTAGCCTCGCGCTGGGATCCAGTGGTGGCACAGAGGGGGTAGGCTGGGCTAACCACTTTTCAATGAACCGGTAAATTACCGGTAATTGAACGTGGCGTCACAAGCGAGGTGATGATATTCATAAACTGTCACTCGGTATGAGAGTATTGCGCAGCGAGTTTAGAAGAACTGTGAGGGTGCTTCATTAGGCTCGGGGGAATTATTTTTTTTGCGTTACTACAGTACGAGTACACGATGCTTTCGTGATGGGCCCATCACGGTAAGGTGGAATCGAATTTGCGTACGGTAGTCCAATTACCGGTAGACTATGCGTGACCGGAGCGTCAGAGGTCCGGTTGCTGGAATTCGCCCTCGGATCCCTCCAACCCTGAGAGATTTCAAAAAATACATAAAAGACTGAGATCACGTTTGGCCGGCTGATAAACCGTTTACAAAAACACCTTCTCAGGTGTTTTGGCGGCTCCCTTCTCAGGTCCACTGTATCACTCCTCGGATGCACTTCCAGCCATCTTTCGTCATCAATTAAGCGGGACTAAAGCGCGACTCAGGTTTCCAGCGCGTCACCCCTGTCTCTTCCTCCGCAACCTCACTTTCCACACGCGGTCCCACCAGATAGTTGGACTTTGTAACGGACAAAATTTTCTCTTCCTTCTTGAGAGTTTAGCGGTAACGGATATATTTTATACAAGATGGGTATCAAAGGTGACTACTCTAAACAAGCACTCCATGTACGGTCGCCAGCTAACACGGGATATCCGGGCCTCCTTCACCTCCTGCAGGACAACGCACCAGACGCCATAAAAGAAGGCGAGATAAAGCAACACTTTGGCCGGAAAATCGCCATCGATGCCTCGATGAGCATCTACAGCTTCCTTATAGCCGTTCGATCGGAGGGGCAGCAGTTAACCTCCGAAACGGGCGAGACGACTTCGCACCTGATGGGCCTCTTCTACCGCACCCTGCGCATGGTGGACAATGGGATAAAACCGCTCTACGTCTTCGACGGGCGCCCGCCGACCCTAAAGTCCGGCGAACTCGCCAAGCGCAGCGCGCGCAAGGCGGAGGCCGCGGCGTCATACGCGGAGGCGAAGGAGGTCGGTACGGCGGAGGAGGTGGAAAAGTTCTCGCGGAGAACGGTGCGCGTGACGAAGGAGATCAACGACGAGTGCAAGCGCCTGCTGACGTGTATGGGGATACCCTACGTGGAGGCTCCCTGCGAGGCGGAAGCGCAGTGCGCGGCGTTGGCGAAGGCCGGGAAGGTGTACGCGGCCGCCAGCGACGACATGGATACCCTGTGCTTCGAGACGCCCATCCTGCTGAAGAAGCTGATGCTCAGCGAGATGAAGAAGGAGCCCGTCCAGGAGATCTGCCTCGACCGCGCCATGGAGTGTCTGGACTTTACGCGGGACCAGTTCATTGACCTGTGCATCCTCCTTGGCTGCGACTACTGCGACACAATCCCGAAGGTGGGCCCCACTACCGCGCTCAAGCTCATCCGCGAGCACAAGTCCATCGAGAAGGTCCTCGAGCACCTCGGCCCCAAGTACGCCGTGCCCGGGAACTGGCCGTACCAGGATGCGCGTGAGCTCTTCAAGACCCCGCTCGTCACCGACCCCGACGAGTGCGAGTTCAAGTGGGAGGCCCCCGACATGGACAAGCTCGTCGCCTTCCTCGTGGGCGAGAAGGGCTTCAACGAGGATCGCGTGCGCAACGCCGCGGGAAAGCTGACCAAGAACTTGAAGGGGAATACGCAGGCGCGCGTCATTGACTTTTTCAAGCCCGTGCCCAAGACGGCGGAGGAACTTGCGGGGATGAAGAGGAAGAATGAGGAGAAGGTTGCCGAGCGGAAGAAGAAGGTCAAGGCGGAGAAGGCGGAGAAGGGGAAGGCGAAGAAGGGGAAGAGGTAGTTTTCCTCTTCTCATCTTCTTTTTTCCATATAATACTTTTTTTTTTTCCTCGTCTTTGAATGGTATACCATACCGTTCTCTAGCTTTCGCCTTTATGATAACGTTGGTAGGAAACTCTATCCATGGGATCATGTACAATAGTTTTCTTTTCTTTTTTCTTCAGAATAAGGGAAGGGGGGGGGGGAAGAAGGAACAAAATCACAGTACCCTTATGATACAATCACAGCATACGGTAGCAGAGTTCAATATTACACACTAAATGCAAACCAAACTACACCGGGTAGTTGAGTAAATAATGGATATAAGGGACATTCAAAGTTAAAAGGAGGCTCCTCTCTCCCCCTCCCACTGACGAGTTGCAATTGGTTACTCTATAGTCTAATGTTGGCCAATGGTGTCGACGAATTTTGGGCAGCACAGGTTGGCATACGGGCATTTGAACGCGCCGAGTTCAAGTTGCACAATATTATGATAGCTGGGGGTAAAGAATAGTAGTAGAGGAGGGTACAGTGCAGTACAGTACACCCGGTTCTTGCGGGGTACGATATTGGGGAGGCTCTATCCATGTTACTATAAGAGATTTCTTGCTGGGGGACAGTTGGTAATTACCGTATCACATTGGAGTGCGCTTGCAGCTATTACTCAGTACTGACATGCCGGTATTGTACGGTATGATACCGGTATCATATCCACCTTGGCGGGAGTGCGATGCGGTATGATACCGGTATATAGCAGGTATGATGATACGTAGATTAGTAAGGCCGGTACAAGTATGATATGGCAGGGTACTCACACAGTAACCGTTTCTGTATATGCCAAGCTTATATGAAACCGCTTCCCGTATTGTTTTTTTTTTTTTTTTTTTGCTTATACATGATACCGGTACATTCTGCTTTCAATGTTGCTGGTATGAATGCTCATATCATAACTTGTGTATCATATCATAGCCACATCACCGGCATGATATCAGCCTTTCAAGTCCCTCGAGCACACCCACCCCACCGCCCGCACGTACGCCCGCCCGCCCACTCACTCACTCGTGAACCCCGGGCGGTGACTGATTGGCTGACTGGCGGGCTCGCCGGCTCCGTCACCCGCAATACCAACCAGTAGAAAGAAAGAAAGAAGGAAGGGAAAAAAGAAAAAAGAAAAAAAAAGGAAAAAACAGTCAAAGGTGGGATCAGTACCTAAAGCACCGATATGGGTAGTGTGGTGCAGTGCAGTACTCGTACAGGGAAGGGGACAAACGATAAGTTTTAAGAGCCCGTTTCATCCCGTGAAACGTAGCGGTACTTGTACCACTCCAGCGGCGGCACGAGCGAGTACTTGTACTCGTACTGTGCTTGTAAGATACCGGTACCGTCCTCCCCGTTCTGGTTTGTCAAACTTGGCGCGAGGGGAAGGGTGCGGCGGGGGGGGGGGGGGGGCATGGCAACAGATCGAGGCGAAATGGGGTAGACTAAGTTAGAGTCTAGAGTCGGTGTGGTGTGGGATATATCATACGGTAGTCTAAGTTACCGGAAAGGATAGGATACGGGACGGTAACTGGTTACTGCAGGTGGTACTGTACTGGTACTGTGCTACACACTATCATTAAATTTACGATAAAGTATCATACTCGTACGAGTATCATAACTACTGTACTCGTACTGCACAGTTTACCATTTCATGATTTCAGATTCGGCGCCGGACACCTCTCGTTTCCCCCCCTCCTTCTTTTTGCAGGTAGATTTACCAATCAAACCCTTTTGGGAATTCGTTTCGGTAACTTACAAGTATCGTTAGTTCTATAACCAATACTGGTACTCGTACTTGTACCACCTCAATCTCGAATTTTTTTTTTTTTTTGTTAAATGGTGGGCCGTAATTCCTGCCGTAAAGTTGAGCAGAGCACAGCACAGCACCGTAACTGTGACCGTAACTGTAACTGTAACTGGAGGGCAGTCGTGGTGTGGTGTGGTGTGTGCGAGTACTAGTGCTGTACGAGTACTAGTACTCCACCGCACTAATCGGGCAGACCGGTAGAGTACAAGTACAGTAATGACCAAAAGAGAAAGAAGAAGAAAGAGAAGAAGAAAAACACGTGGGAAAGGATAATTATTCGCAGGTTTTATCTGTGATGGCTTGTTACCCTCCTGACGCACCCCTGGTTATAATATTGCGCCGTGGGTGCGGTGTTCCAGAAGGGGTTGGTAGTAACTATTTTATTCGATGTATATATATATATTTATTCACTTCCGAGGGTTTGCGAACAAAGCCATGATAGGCTACTATTTCGGTTCGTCGGATCCGGGTCTTGTGCCTTTCTCATGGAGTGATTATTGGTAATTATTTTACGATTGATGTGAATACTGACTTACTGTAGACTACTGACCGACTGACTGACTGGTAAATGGCGTCGTGGATTGTCAAAACTGCCTAGGGTGAAGGAGAATGGATTTCATGTTGTTATTGTTAGTTAGAGGGCGCTTCCCCTTCTTCTTTTTCTTTTCTTTTACTCTCTTGAATACTCGGTTGTCTCGGTTATTGTGGCATGATAGCTTAGGGAGGTAGATTTCAAAAGTTTGAGACCGTCCTCCTGTCTCGCTGTGCATCCCAATATCGCGATGTTGTGAGATAAGGTATGGACGGAAATTGGGACACTGTAGTGGCCTGAGGACTTCTCCATCACTTGCCTATTATTTGGTGATAAATCTTGTGAGGCAACTTGTAAATACACTTTTGGATATGGTTAGATTTTCCCCCCCACTTCCCGGTCGGGGAGGATGGAAAGGGTTGAGAATTCAAGACTCGTATCTATAATACCTACCGTATCGCACAGTCCGCCAGAGCGCAGAAGCGAATGGCGTGGAAAACGGCGTCTTCTCTTCAATGGTCAAGTTGTGTGTGTGCATACCTTCACAGTCTTTCTTTCCTTTTCTCTCTCTATATTTTTCTTTGTAAAGCTTTGTTAATTAGTTAGATATGTGTCCTACTGTACTCCGGAATCATAGAACGGTAGTGTTCAGTACGGTGTGAGTACTGTATGCGCGTTGTGCCGTTCACCATGATCATGACCATGAACCGAACGCTTAAAGAGGGAGATTCTGCGCTCGAGATGGCACGAGAAATGAATGGAGCGTTAAATACTATAGTAGGAGCATTTCTTCTACTTTCCTCCTTTCCTTTACGAGTTCTGGCGGGGTGTGTGCACCCGCCGCGAGGGAATTGTGCTCCGCAAAATTTCCCAGTCTGGTGTTGTGGATTTGAATGCTTCGAGAGAAATATCATCACACCCAGGGAACGGTGAAGCGAATGGAGTCCTCTCTGTTCATGCCTAAAGTATGTGTTCTTTCTCTTCTCTATAGATCTCTTCCTTCCTCGCCCTCTTTGCAAGTATTACTCGGGCGCATATACCTGTGCTAGTTGGGCCACTGTTTTGTACTTTTACCATGGGGGTCATCGGTGAGTTGGCGATGGGCGGAGGCTCAAAGGCCCGAAGGGAAAAACTGTACCGTACTGTACTCAGATGGAGGAGGAGGGAGAGAAAGTGAATGAAGTCTTCCATTCTTCTCGCCTACCGTATTCAATACTTCTTGTCTCATCCTCGAAGCTCCAGCCGGTCGTGTGTGTGTGTCCTGTGCGATATCTTCACCGTGGACCACGTTGTGCCGGCGCCCACCAGACGATGACGGTGTAGGGAACGGAGAGATTCCAAACTCAAGAGGTGACGAGAAATGAATGGATTTTTTTTTTCTTTCGTACATCACAGCTAGATGATCTCTTCCGTATCCTTTTCTCTCCCTCTATTCCGTGAATTGATTAATTGTGCCAGGATGTATATATATACACACTCGCACGAGGAATTCACCGTCTGTTGGGTTGGTCTCATCTCCATCGTGGAATCCCCATGGAGGGTGAGGTGTGGGAGGAAACGGCAGGCATCAACACCATCACCAAGAGCATACCTTCCCAGACTACAGCACCGGAAGGGGAGTTAATGATGTGTGAATGTTCCTATCCTTTACTAAAGGCCGAGGGATGTAATCCCTCCCCCCCTCCCATCGCGTGTTTGAATTATCCATTGCTTCCACCTCGCTTCTATTGGCATCGGTGGGGTTCACGATATCTTCCTCAACACCATCCGCCCAGCATTCACACATCCTTATCCGTAGAAACCATAGACACTCCACTCACTTCTCAATCATATATTGCTAGTCCAAACTCACCGAACCCCCCTGATATCCTGTCCGATCGGATCCCTCGTGTCGCAGCATCAACCACACCCAATCCCTTAGCGAGACGGAGTTGTTTTCAGTTGCTGAGCGTCCGGTTGGGTCCTTGACCTTGGGTGAGCGGGGAGAGAGCTGGGAGGCGAGTGATCACTCGCGATACCGGCGGCGAAGGGTTTCGCACCGGCCTGAATGATAGAATTCTCGCATAAACGCGTGCAAAGTGTTCTAGAATTTCTCCCACCGGATATTGATCGAGTATGGAACGCTACACTTGACGATAGGAATCTTAATTTTTTAATTTTTTTCATTTCACTTGGGTTATGCTACGTGACTATGTATTTTCTCTCATCTACGATCTGGCATCAGGAATGAGGGAAGGGGTGGGGGGGGAGAGGAGGGAGACAAGGGGAAAAAGGTGGGGATAGACTCTGGTCCGGGAGGGATTGGAGCGATGCCATCAACAAGTGAGTGTCAAGTGACAACGAGGACAATGGGAACACCCAATCGGGGGGAATAATTGGGATGGATGAGGAGGGGAGGGGAGAAGGGGGAGAGCGAGTGACGTGTTGTCTTCGGAAAGGGTGGAAGAGGATGGGGAGGAAAGTGAAGAAATGGAAAAGAATGAGGAGGTGGGAAGGAAGAGGAAGTGAGCGGACGGGGGAGAGTGAGGGATGGGAAAAATGGGAAAAAAAGCGGGAGATGGAGGAGACCCCGAAAAAATGGGCCCGAGGAGGAATGGGGAGTGGATGGAGGTGGGAAGGAAAAAAAAAAAGAGGAATCGAAGGGAGGGGGGAAGGGAAACGAGGGAAAGCGCAGCGAGGGAGAGAGGGCGCGAAGGGAGCCGTTGTGGGCGGCGTGGATGGATGTGAGAGAGAAGAGGTCCCGCCCTCCCCTATGATACCTTTCCAAAACCTTTCAGCCCGAAGCTCTCTCCGCGAGTGCTTTTTGGTCCAGCTTGACCATTTGCTCTGGCCAGACTTTGTATGATACTGGGCGGCACTGTGAGTGAGTGAGTGTGTGAGTGAGTGAGTGTGTGAGTGAGTGTGTGTGTGTGTGCCCTCTGCTTTCCCGGCAGCATTTTTCTCTGGGGGAGGCTGTAATCTCCATTCCCACCCCTAACCCTCACGCAACATGGGTTGGGAGAGGGAGGGAGGGCCAAAAAAAATAAAAAAAAATGTGGGCGTTGATCTGGTCAGGCTGCAGCATGTCTTCGTGTTGGGACTTAAGACGACGTTGCCCCGCTACCCTCTTCCCGCTCACCCTTCGTTCCCATCCGCACTTTCAATCTCCCATTTGCTTTCTACACCACCACTCTCAACCGCAAGAAAATAATCCCCCGCCCTCGCCTTCACTGTGCCTCCGTCAATCGCAATCTCCCTATTCTTCCCCAAATCAAGACTACAGAAAACCCCACCACTAGCCATGCCTCCAAAAGGTTCTACCGCTAAGTCTGGAGCCACCAAGAAGAGTTCCAGCGTTCCCGAACATCCTCCTTATAAGGAGATGATCAAGGAGTCCATCCGAGCTGTTTGTCCTCCCATCCCCATCCTGTCTTCCCTAAATGCCCGAGGGGCGGGGTATTTTAATTATGATGTATGGATGAAATGATAGCTAACTTTTCTATTATGTATAGCTCAAAGAACGTAATGGGTCTAGGTTAGTTGCCTGTGAAATATTTGCGACACTTTGTCCGTGACGTGTTGTTGTGGTGTGGCTAACAACCTGTTCCCCCCCCCTCTCTTTCAGCCGTCCCGCTCTCAAGAAATATATTCAGGCCAACTACAAGGGTGTTGCGACCGATCGCTTCGACCAGCTCTTCAACCAGGCATTGAAGAAAGGTGCCGAGAACAACGAATTTGCTTTCCCCAAGGGTATGCGTCTTGTTTGGACACCTTGCGTGACAATGGCTAACGCGAACCGTCAGGTCCCTCTGGAACTGTCAAGCTTGTAAAGAAGGAGCCCGCCCCCAAGGTTAAGCCTGCTGCCAAGGACACCGCCAAGGTAGGCTCTTGTCCTCGCACTTTTATCATGACCGATGCGATCTAACCCCATCCGCAGAAGGCATCGACTGCCAAGGAGTCTACCAAGAAGACTGCCACTGCCAAGAAGCCAGCCGCGAAGAAGGCTGCTGCTCCCAAGAAGGAGAAAGCTGTCAAGGACAAGGAGGCTGCTCCCAAGAAGGAGAAGGCTACCGCAAAGGAACCCGCTAAGCCCAAGTCTAATGCGAAGAAGCCAAGAAAGACCGCGGCCGCCGCTTCCGTGAGTCCAATTTCGGGAAGAAGAAAAAAGGGTGACTTGACTAACACTTTATAGGCCCCTGCGGTGACCGAGAAGTCCCCTGTTCTCACCAAGACCAAGTCCGGTCGCGTCTCCAAGGGTACCGCAGCCGCTCCAAAGGCAGGACCCAAGAAGAAGGCCGCCGCACCCAAGAAGAAAGCAACCCCAAAGAAGAAGGAAGCTCCGGCAGCTGAAGCATAAGCTTCACGCTTCGAAACAAATTCCTGTTTTCTTGTAAATCTTCGTCTTTTTTATAACCAGGGTATAGTTATGCATGTTCGCCTTGTTCAATTATGCTCTGTTGGGGGTCTTTTATTTCATGATTTGCCACGGTTTTCTTCCCTTTTCTATCACTGTTTTCTACACACTTGGGGATAATGCAAGGTTCTGTTATCTAACTTTGGGGAGGGAGAAGGGGGGGGTTAAATCGTTTCTCAATGCCTCCCGTCAAAGGTTTTCTTTTTTTTCTTATTCGGGGTAGCGGAAAAACAGGGGTTTTCTCGTTCTGGGCAGTTTCTTTTTAGGGAGCTTTTCGGGTGCCTGGGAATTTTTTGTTTCCATCTGTATTGTTTGTTAAATGCTGGGGTTATTCAATCGGTTTTATCTTTTTTTTCCTCAACTCCCGAACCGAAGAGAATGAGTTCTCTGGAGCTACTGCACTACTCCTGTATTTCATTCGTTATCTCGTATAGAATTCTATTTTCATCGTGAGGAATACTTTGGAATACCGGGGGGGGGGGGTTGAAGTTTGTGAGATGTAGGTTGACTGTCGTGAAATGTGTGGTGTCAATGGTTGATTCACCGGCCAAATGGCGTGGTCGAGAGGAATTTATGATGACAATAATGATGGATGAGACCCTACCGGTACTCTGATTTGTCACTCGTCCGTTCATTCGTTAATTTCCGCACATGAGTCGTTCCAAATTAGATTAGGGAGGGGGAAGGGAAATGTCCCCACGTTTCTCACCCTCGCTTGCGAGCGAGAGAGAGGAAGTGAGGTTGATACCCGCAGACTAAGGACTAGGGTTCCTCGGCACGGGAGGTCACTCGCTGCTGGCCTGCAGTTGGGTTAGGTTTACCCTTAACTTGCCGTTACTGTGTCATACACACACTACGGTACTCGCCGTTGGATCCCATTCCATTTGGTTGGCTGGTCGGGTCCGTCCCGTCATGCTCATGTTCATGTACTATACGATAATTGTGTCGAATTCGTGGGGTTTCTCTATGTACGATGTGATAGCTGTATACTTTTCAGAGGAAATCTATTCATTTACCGTGGAAATGAAGTGAAGCGTACAATAACTCACTCAGAAGCAGGACAGATGGAAGGAAAAGCCATGGAAAGCAGCGGTATGTGATTTGTGTTTTTCTTATCTTTTTTTTCGCTTGTTTCAGTGAAATAAATAACATAAAAAGAATAAGGAAATATGTTGTGATTCTTGTTTGTCGCCCTCGTCGTGGTCTACGGTAATCTAGTGCCGACGGCTGCAGATCTGGACCATTTCGCGAGATGTTGTAAAAGCATACCGTAACCGTCTTTTTTTTAATTTTTTTTTTTACCTCCAATACAAGTGCTTCTGCTCTCTCTCTCTCTCTCTCTCTGAATCTATCAATAGACCTTTTTAATTTATTTATTTCTATTTATTCATTTCTCATCAAAGTAATCATCGACACGAGATTCCCGGATACAAAATTTCCCCCATTTCCGGTGGGCGAAACACCTACCGTACAGTACCTTGGTTGCTGCTGTTTCTCAAGACTTTTTTCGATATCGGACTTTGTAGGGTGCGACATCCCGTAAAAAAATAAACAATCTATGATATCATGCCCGTAATTGCGATGGCACACTCACTACTACGCCCCTGCCCCCCCCGCTCGCGATTCAACCCGGCGCAAGGCTCGATCGATCGATGGGTGTTATGATGTGGGAAAACGTTTGTGTTGTGTTGTGTTTGATTGATGGGACTGTGTGGGGTATGTACTCGAGTACTTGTATATGGCATACGGTATACTCGTGCTCGAACCACCACCCTACGACACCGTAAGGCGTTATGATATCCCAGTATTACAAAGTTAAGTCAAACTCTGATACCTTCCTGGAGAGTTATGATACCGGTAGACTGCGGTAGACTAGACTAGACCATCAGCCGCGTCGAACGCAGTCGTCGGTATTATACGATAATTAGTCTAACGTAACCCTGGACAATGCAACACACACACAACAACGCTTTCGGAGATGTAGTGTACTCGTACGAGTATCGTGCGTTGGATTATTCCTATCATACTTACCGGACATAACAGGACATTGGTATTATACGATACTTGTACGAGTACTATGGCGCCGGTGCATGGCTATAAATAAATAGTGCGCATCTCTAGGGGGGGAACGGTACGACCGAGGGGGCGGTAAATTGTATGTATCATATGTATGTATGTATGTGGTATATTATTTGGCGCGGGGGGCACATGGGAATTTTGGCGGGGTGGCGAATCATGCATAAATAAGTGCATACATGGATACATATCGGTGCCGTTTCCTCTTGTTGATTGCTGTGCATTCATTCATTCATTCCTTCATACCTTTCCAGTGCTTGTGTACTACAACTAGACGCCCCCAACTAGACGCCCCAATGATATTGCACCCGCGCCGGAGCTTTGCTTTGTACTTGTATCTGCACCGTAGTAAGTAACCAAGCAACTAAGCAAGTTAGTGAGTGAATGGGTGGATGGGTGAGCGAGTCGATGCAAGCACGTGTTTACAACGGGAGTGTTCTCGCGAGTGATTTGCGGTGACTGCACGTATCTCTCCCCCTGCCCCTCTCCCTTTCTCTATCGATATGATACTTGCAAGCACCAGTTGTTCTTTTTTTTTTTTTTTTTTCATAGCCACAATATTTGTCAATTTTTTTTTTTTAATGAATGAACGACAACCGCCGACGCGGAATAGTCGATTCCACTTCTTCATGTGGCAGTGAGCGTGTTAGGATTTGTCAAGTGCAAGTTATAATAGACTGGTTAACAAAGTGTTATGATGCGTGGAGGTGGGTGGGGTTGTCGTGCAACCGTAGACTACAAGTTCATTTGATGCGTTATGCTCTCGGGCGGGTTCGGGGTATGGTTGGCCCTCCCCCCCCCCCCCTGTATGAACGACTACGAGTCCCGGAATCTCTCTACGCCCTGGCGGACGGACATATTTTGGGAATTTTTTTTTTTTTTTTTGGCCTGTCGGTCGGTGCGCGATTAACTTGATCGGTGGATTACCGGTGCGTTGCGAGTACTTTACCTTTATTTGGTGTCGTGGAACGCGTGGGTTTGGTCTACCGTGCTGTTTCTTACGATGTACCGTGCTTCCCCTCTTCTTCCACCATCTCTCTCCGGGTCAAAGGGGGGTGGGGATTATGTTAGGGGCAGTGGCTGCCTGTACAGTACTGTACTCGAGTACTGTATAGGTTGATGGGGTATATTTATATATAAGCGGATCAGTGCTTTTTCTTTTCTTTTCTAACCAGTCAGCCAGTACCGTGCTCTACTGTACGATATATCCTCCGGGAAAAGGAAGCGCGACCCCATGAATTGGTCCGGGAATTGATTGCACGGGTAACAATTAGGGGGGGGGGCTTCGTCCTTCCCGGGGTTGAGGCGGTGTGGTGGAATGGAGGGCGGTTAAGTTATCCTCCGAGACACCTTTTTACAGTACGAGTACTACCGTAGATGAGTGAGATAATCCATCGATATCGCCTTCCTTCCTTCCTTCCCCGTTTGGTCCGGTTTCGAGTGAGTGCCCCGGCATCGGGTTAGGGTTTATGGCAGTTATTGTGGGTTGACGGGAACAATGCGATGGGTTCAGCAAGGGAGTGAGTGGCCATGGCTTGGCGGACATGCGACGGGTTCTCGGTACGCACAGTGGGGATGGCGTGTGGGTGGTTCTGGCTTGGCTTGGGTTACCGGTATGGGATGGTGGCAGGTGGTGGTGCCTGGGGTGCTGTGCGAGTACCGTGGGCCACCATGGTCTAAGCATTGATCTACCGCGTTGTTGTTGTGTGTGTGGTGCGCTGTTACTGTGCATTCCTGCGCTCGATGCTGATGCCGAGGTATTTTTTTTGGGGGGGGGCCAATCTTTGGTCTTTTGGGATCACGATGTGTGATGTGGTGGTGGGGATTGGGTGAAGGGTAAGGTCGGTATTTCTCCCTGCTGGTGCGGTACGAGGGGATCCCATACCATACGATCGGTCTTTCTCAGCTGTGCGGTACCGATACAGTGCTCGAGTTGAGTATATATGAAGGAAGGGTGGGGAGGCCTGGATAATACAGTACAGTGCTCTACTCGCATGGCGCTAGTAAAGTGCTTTGTGGGATGCAGCAGCAGCTGCGGCTGGTATTCTTATTCAGAGATGGAGGGAGAAAGAGAGAGGGAGCGCTTCTTCCCCGTCCCCTTCCTTCGTTGGAATTTACATAATGGCTGAGGGCGGAACAGGATGATAAGCAAATGAACACCGTGGACGAATAGCGGTAGATGAAGTGACCACTTTTGCTGGATGGCCTACGCACTCACACCTCATCATGGTAGGGTGAAGCTTCTCCATCCTGCACGGCTCTGTCTGATCCCGGGGTGCTGTGTGTAAGATTGATGGAGGGCGGATTTGGAATAGTGTTTGGGGGGAGGAGGGTGGGTGAATGGGTGAGCGAGCTGAAGGAGAGGGAGAGGGAGAGGGAGAGGAGAGGAGGAGGAGGAGGAGGATTGCAGAGGTGTTGCAATTTACGGTACTGCACGCTGTGCGAGTGAGCGAATGGGCTTGGAGTGGTTGAGGCGCAGTCGTGCCATTCCGTCTTTTTTTTTTTTTCCCTTTTCCTCCTTTCATTTCTGGCCCCACGCCAGGGTGTAGTACAGTACGGTACAGTAGAGTAGAGTACCTGTATGATACGAGTACTGTACTGTACTCGAGTGCTGTGCTGTACTGTACTCGTATCATACACGAGCACAAGAACTGACTGTGATGGATATCATGTTTTCCCCTCCCCCCGTGTTTTGTTTGAAGGCTTCTTGACCGAGCCCTGAGCCATCCTTTTGTTTCCTCAATTCCACCAACTTGGAGGGGTTGGACTACCGTACCCTATCGTACAGTACAGCACATGCCGGCGCTGTGCTTCACCACCGCCGGTACTCCAGCACACTCTCTGTCTCCCCCGCTGTCGGCATCTCTCCAGACTCTCCGGACACCCCATCATACATACCTTACCGTACTAGTACGGTACTCGTGCTGTGCACTTGAAGGAGGAAGGGAAGCTCGCCAATTGCTCGGGGATTTAAAATTAGAGTGGCTGCAACTCCTCGAAAGGTTGCTTCGCTTTCAGGGTCACTTGTTGCCTCCACTCTTTGCTCCCTATTCCACCTTTCGCTCCGCTGACTGCCAGCCAGCTTGCTTCTGCTTGCTTGGCTGTGTCGCGCGCTCAGACGCTCCACTTGGGGGGGTCCCTTTTCTGTTTGTGTGCCCTTTTTTTCTTTTTTTTCTTTCTTCCCTTTCCTTTTTCCCTTTTCCTTTCACTTCTGCTTGTGCCCTCTGCTCTCCCTCCTACCCGTGCCGGTAGTCCGCCCCTACTCTCTCTCTCTCGCCCTCTCTTCTCGCCTTCTTCCCTCGTTTTTCGTTTTTCTTTTCTTTTCTAGACTTCTTTTCTTTTTTTGATTTCAAAGGGATCGTTTCCTTCGAGAAGCACCATCCCCTCCCCGTCCTCGTTCCAGCCCTTTATTTCTTTTCTTGGGCCGGCCGACCGCACATGCTTCAGTTTGGGGATGCTGCTGCTATGCCACTTCCCCACAACGATATCCTAACATCTTCCGAGTCGTCGTCGAGTCGTCGTCATTACACCCCCCAGAACTCCTCCCGGCCTCGCAAACACGGCCCTTCCAACCCTACGGGCGGTGTGCTCGCTACTGCCAGCGGGAACGGGTCTGTGACCGGTCTTGCCCCGGGCCTGAAAGTCGTGGAGGGAGACTCCTCGAATACCGACTCGATTGACTCCAACCGACGACTATCGCTTCAATCTACAACCCCTTCTACCTCTACTGCCGCTACCGCTACTACTACTACCGTCGCAACCGCCTTGGACATGTCCACCGTCGCTAACGGTGGCCCCGCGGACCGTGACGGGAGGGTGGTTGTTGGCATGGATTCAGGGGCCGTAAAGGGCTCGACGACTTCATCACCGGACAACTCGTATTTCCTTAATGGGCCGGCGGTGGAAGGTTGGCCCAACAGCAGCAGCAGCAACAACAACAACAACAACAACAGCGATCCGAATGGCATACAATCCAACTCGGCAACGAATGGCTCCTCTTCCTCGGCTGCCTCTCCTAATAGCACCGTGAGCCTTGTTGCTCCCAAGACGACGGACCATCTATCCGCTCCCAATTCGCAACCCAACCCCTCCCGCTTCTCCTCGCCTCTGCCCCTATCCGCCTCGTCCGGTGCCCACGCGGGCCAGCCACAGCAACCACCCTCTGGTTCAAACTTGCGGCATCGACACACGCTGCAAGTCCCCAAGGCTTATAGCGGTCGTAATTCCACTCCCGGAGGCGTGTCTGATGCTGCTGCTGCCAGTGGCCGCTTCTCCCCTCCCACCACCACCACCACCACCACCACCGGTGCTCCCCGTCGTGCTTCCATCTCCCTGGGCAGGAGGGCTACCAGGTCGGCCAATTCCGATATGCATATCGACGAGATACCCCAGGACGAGGATGCCGCGCGCTGGGCCGAGGCTATCAGGGCAAAGAGGGCGAGCAAGCGGCGGAGGCAGGAGGAGGATGAGGAGGATGATAAGGTTGTGGTCGGGACCAAGGTTGACCACAACCACGTGAACTGGGTAACGGCATATAATATGCTTACTGGTATTCGTTTCGTGGTGTCGAGGGTTAATGCCAAGATGGATAAACCCTTGACGGATGCTGATTTCGATGCCAAACACAAGTTCTCGTTTGATATGTGGGTCTTTGCCCGTTTGGCCTTGCTTTGTTTCATGGGACTTGCATGGCTGACTGACTGACTGCTGCAGAACTGGCAATGAACTTACCCCCTCGGCCAAGTATGACTTCAAGTTTAAGGATTACTCACCCTGGGTGTTTCGACATTTGCGGACAAAGTTTGGCCTTGATCCGGCTGATTATTTGATGTCGCTGACGAGCAAGTATATATTATCGGAATTGGGGTCGCCCGGAAAGAGCGGTAGTTTCTTTTACTTTTCCAGGGATTACAAGTACATCATCAAGACGATTCACCATGGCGAGCATCTATTTCTTCGAAAGATACTGCGGGATTACTGGAAGCATGTGGAGGATAACCCCGACACACTGATATCACAGTTTTACGGTTTGCATCGCGTCAAGACGCCCTTTGGCCGCAAGATTCACTTTGTCGTCATGAACAATCTTTTCCCCCCGCACCGAGATATCCACCAGACGTTTGACCTCAAGGGTTCGACCATTGGAAGGGATTACAAGGAGGAGAACCTAGTGAATAATCCGAGGGCCACCCTGAAGGATCTCAATTGGCTTCGCAGGGACATGAATTTGAACTTTGGACCCCACAAGAAGGAGCTGTTCTTGCAGCAGGTGGAGAGAGATGTCAAACTGTTACAGAAGCTTCACATCATGGACTACTCTTTGCTGTTGGGCATTCACGATCTGACTAGGGGGAACCGGGATGATATTCGGAACAACGCTTTGAAGGTGTTTCAACCCGGCGGCAGTGAGAACGACGAGTTGCACGGGCACATGCTTCAGAGGACGCCTAGCAAGATGGAGAAGGCCCGCCAGGCAAGGGAGCTGCGGAAGATTATCAACAAGGAGGTGCCGGTATCGCTGGATCAAACATCGAATCGTCTGCCGGACGAGTTTTTGGAGTATGTTATCCGGTCTGGCTGGTTTTGGGAAAAGGGGGTGTGTGTTGACTATTTTATAGGCAAAGGAAGACTGCGTTTTATGGGGACGACGGTGGATTCCGGGCTACTTGTGAGAATGACCAGCCTGGCGACGTTATTTACTATCTCGGTATCATTGATTGCCTTACTCATGTTGGTTCTACCCGGTCTAATTGGTGCGTATGGCTGCTAACGCGTCAATGATCAGTATGGGTTTGCAAAGAAGGCGGAGCATTTCTGGAGGGGATTGTCGAATCCCAAGGATCAAGTTTCCGCGATTCCACCTCAGAGCTATGGGGATCGGTTTTTCAAATTTATATCGGGGCTGGTCAAATCTCCGGAGGCGGCGGCGAGGGATCGGGAAATGCGCGAGAAGGAGAACGCGGAAGCGGTTCCCGTGCAACTGGGGGATGGAGTGGTAGATAGAGCGCGCAACCAGGCGGAAGGGACGGGTGCGAGTGAGGCGGATCAGCCCGCAAGGACTCTTGGTACCACTAGGTCGCCTTCGGCCGAGAGGACGGGTGGGGCGGCTGGAGCTGTGCTGCCGGTTGTTGAGGAGGCTGGTGAGGGAGGCAGCACAGGGGCACGAAGTCGTAGTCGGAATGGAAGTGTGAGCGATGGTGGCCGACATTCCGGCTATTTCGACAGCGTAACGGACCGAAGGCCCTCTCGGGAGATTGCGTCGTCATCATCCCCTGTCGCGTCGGGGAAGCCACCACCGCAGCTGGATAATGGGACAGCATTGCACCAGCCCCTGAACCTACAGACGGGTTCAATCGTTCAGAAGCACGAGCAGGATGATTTCGCTATAAGGGTTGCCAGGGTATCCTCTTGAGTTCATATTTCGAAACGGAGGGGAATCCTGGTGTTGGGATCATTTTTCAATTTTTCTTGTCTTTTTGCCGGATCAAAATTGGATCAGTCTTTTCTGCCACCCTCTCTGTTACTTCACCTAACCTGCTACATTTCTCTCTCTTTCTTTCCCCTGCTCATCAACAAACGCATCCTGCAATGATTACGGACGGCGCAAAAAAAAACTTTTTCCTTTATATTCTTCTCATTTTGTTAACCATTTGCTACTTTTTTTTTGTGCTTGCTTGTCTATTATGCGACATGTGGCGGCGGCGAACTTGTAGAAAAAGGGAATTTGGGCTAGAGTTTCTTTTATTTTTTTTCTTGCGTCTTCTCTCTGTGATTTTATCGATTACCTATTTTAACCTTTTCAGCATCATTCCCCCCCCTCTTTCTTCTAAGGTTATTGCTAACGTCTACTCACCTAAACCACGGTACTTGGGTTTTTCTTTTGTCCCACATTTTTTTCTTTTTTTGCATTTTCTCCATCCTACCGGCCCCCGGCTGACTACCCAATTAAGCTGACTACCGCACGCACTCACTCGATTTTCTTTTATACTCTTACTTTAGCTTTGTGTTTTCTTTTGTGATTTTTTTCTTCGGATTGTTCGCTGGTTCATTGGGTGACATGGGACGGAATAGGTTGTTTGGTCTGCGCTGTGGAGAACGATCGATCGTTTTGTATGATAATTGGTTTGGCCTTGCTGGCCGCGAGGCGGGGAGGAGGCAGGCAATGAATGGATCGAGCTGGATAATGTTACTTTGGGGTGGTGAAATTTAGGCCCTGTTTTGGCGCGTCGCAATATAGAGGGAGGACTGTTTTTCTTGTGGATTCAATCTTTGCTAGAGCTCGAATCAATCCCCTTGATCGGATAGCATAAGAGAAGAGCTATGTACCACATGACTGACTTGCTGACGGTGCGATGGAAACAAGAATCTGGTGGGAATCTGGTGGGAGTGATAAAAAAAGAAGGGAGGGAAAACAGGTCAACGCTTTAATGCTTTACTCGCCACGGAAAGGCTGTAAAGGTCGGAGAGGCCCCAATTTTGTGGCGCTAGACAGGGCCTCTGCCGTGTCTAGATTTTCTGATCACAGAATTGCGAGTGCTCTTTGCTTTCCTTGCGGGACTGAGAGTGGGTGTCTACAGTGCCTGTATCGTACCGCACATCCAGCGGGTGATACTATATGATGATGGTGCGCGAGGGCAGAGTACCTCAGGCAGTCGTGAAGTCCGCACGAAGCTCGGAACCACCACCACTATGATACCACCGTCAATACCCCGACGCCCTATGCCGGATATCATATGTGATTCCGCGCCGCTACCCTTTCGGATAACTACAGATATCAGGAAGCGAACATGTTGGTCGTTTACTGGGGTTGCGGTGTTTGTGTTTGTCTGGAGGGTGCACCTCTCGTCTCGTGCTTGGGTGCTGATATTCTGTGATACCGCTTGGGGAGTGCAGAGTGGGCGTGGAGTAGAGAGTGGTGTTTGCAAGAACGTGTGCTGGGGGGGGGGGGTGTATCGTAATCTGGCTTGAATTAATGTTGGGTATACGAGGACCATTACACACGCTTGTGTTAGGATTTTCCTTATATTTGTTTCCTTCCTTCCTCGCTTTTCTCTCCCATCCATCTCCTGTCCGTATCCCGACATGCTGGGCTCTCCGGTTTCCTGTTCTCCCTACATTTGTTAACCACCCAAGTGGAAAATAACCGAGTGACACTTTATGACCTGGGCTCTGTTCTCCGTATTAATGCTCAAACTCACTGGCCCCTTCCCTTTCTCTCTACCCGCCTGCCTTGTGGAATGGCTATAAATGTGCTTAGCAACTCCTGGCACTGTGCTCCTCTTTACCTCCTGATTGCAGCCAGAAGTGTCATCCTACTAGTCCCCCCATCCATAAACACAACGCTTTTCCAAAACTCGATCCGGCAAACACTTTCCCCGAATACGCTTCATCCGGAAGGTCTTCGTCTCACCTGAGGCTCCCTCCATACGGGCAGCCGAACTAGACACTGACACCCGAGGCGTCATGAGAGCTCACTCGCCTCACGCATCACCCCCCCTGGAGGTTGGGGGGGGGGGAAAGGTGGGGAGACACGAGACACGTAACTTGTTATCAGATTTAAGAAAACCAACTACACACGGCCCCCTTGCCATTATGAAGATCCCGGGCCGTGGCGGCGGTATAGTGGCGGTGGCAACCATGCGATGGACGGTTCCCACATCCACCGGCGCCCCCATAGAACAAGGGCGAACAGGTTTCTACGCACACCTGGGAAGGAAAAGGCAGAGCCAGATACGGTACCCCCATACGATGGCCGGTTCGCACAACACCTTCCAGTGGGCTCACTGATCGGGGGAAACGGGCTTGGCGGTGGGGATGGGGATGGAAGTTCTTGTCCTTTCCCCTGACGCCCGACCTCCCCGGTCTCCTGCAGCTCCTGCAGCTCCCCGGGGTGTGTGTGTGCTCTGCATTAGCTCCTGGTGCTTTGGTGCTTTGGTTCCGTGCCCCACTGGCTGGGAATCCTACCAGCTCGTGGATATTTCGAGTGACCACTCGTGATCGTGGCGATCGCGGCCTGGTATGGAGGATTTCTACCGGGGGCTGGCGACGTTAGAGAGAGGGGCTGGGTTTGTTTTTTTTGCTTGTTTGCTTACCTTTGCTCTTGAGTTCTCCGCCTCTTGTGAATGATTTACTAGCTAAGGTAAGAGGCACCGCTCGATCCCAGCGATCGGTTGAGGATCAATTTGCGGAAACTCCAGTCTACGACGGAGCAATGGCAACCCATCACCCACTCTATTACGTTCACTTCCTTCCCTCCGTTCGTTCTGTGGGCTGTGGGTTTACGTCATCCCATCTGTGTTTTCTTCTTTCCCCTCCCTTCATGGTTGCTAATCGATGACCTCGAATCACCGGTCCTGCTCCTGCCCATCCTATCATCGTTGCTATGAGCGGCCCTCTGATTATAGGCTAAGGGGCTGGACGCGCGCAGCACCATATCCACCCCTACTCGTAGAATCTTCAATCCCGCCTACAGCTACAATGAAAGAAAAGTGCGTCTAGATGCCCTGCCGTACGTGCCTAGTCAGCCCCAGAAGCACAGCACAGAAAAATGGAATGGAGAAACAAAAACAAGTAGCCTTCTCCCCTTCTCCCCTCTGGATGCGCAGTGCAAGGTTTGGCAAGTGGTATCATTCATCGTCAAGGGTGGGCTAACACAGCACAAGCGCAGTCTCAGGCACAGGCACCACCTACCGTACTCGTTCCATGCCATCGCATACTACACCCCCCCTACCAGACCTCGGGGAGATATATACCAGGCTGAGGGCTGTTCACGTCGCTTACCGTACTTTACGATGCGATTAGTGCACCCCTTCCCTTCCCTCCCCTCCCCTTGACAGCTGGTGAACTGCACTGTTCCTGAACCACGCCGTCGCCTTCTTCTTGCTTTTGGACCTACGTGTTCCTCCACTAAAGGGCTACTGCAAGAGTGGGTGTGTGGGTGGAGGATTGTATCGTATCGTATCAAGGTGGCGCATTGCATCCACCGAGATGAATTAATATTAATATATATGCCTTGGACCAATGGTGAGGAGGGGGGTTTTTTTTTTTTCCGATAGAGAGACGGTGGGTTTTTACTTACGGGTTGGATAGAGGGTAAGGAAGGGTAGCCTTATTTTATTTTATTTTATCGGGGTAACTTTGCGATAAACGGGTATGTAGCAAGTTGGGGGGGTGAGTGAGGGTTGGCAAGATGAGGTTATTTCTTTTAGTGAATTTTTTTTTGAAGGAATACTGGAGTATTGTACTGTGCTGTACTGTACTATGTCAGACGGCCAGGCTGGCTGGCTATCTGCGCAGAAGCTGGGGGATGGAGGAATGGGAAGGTAGGTAGGTAGGTAGGTATGTTGTTGCTGTTGGTTGGTCGGTTAGTGGGTTGATGGGTAGGTAAATCATACTCCACGGTGACTGGCGAGATCGCGATTTGAACAAGTGAGACTTTGTGCGCATTTCGATACGGTAGTGTACGAGTACTGTAAAGTATCATATCTTGTGGTTCGGTCCCGGCCTCAGTCTTCCGTGCCTCGATGATAATATGGTATATGCAAGGAGGTAACATGCCATGCCATGCCATGCCAGACATTTGGAAAAAGCGCCCCAATGGGCGATGCAGTACAGTACAGTACAGTACTCTGCTGTACAGCACAGGTACTCTACAAGTGCAGTCGCACCTCGCTGTTGCATATCCCCGACAACCAAAATCCGAAGAGAAAAACTGTCCGGTACAATGAGTGTTCCGGGACGACGGGTCGAAGTTTTGGTGTGAGATTTTTTTTTTTTTTTTGAATTGGCGGGATTTCAGATTGGGCAGCGGGGTTTTGACTACTATACCATACCGTACTAATTGTCTCAAGGAGGGGGAGGGGGGTGGGCTCCGAGCTAGGTTTGTGCTCTGTTGTATAAAGCTATTTATGGTATGACATGACCGCGAAGTTGAATACTACTAGTATAATATTATGGGAGAATGCTTGGGAGACTTGTTTTCCTAGTTGGTTTTTGGGGGAGACTCGGAAGTTATATAGTACTTACCTGACTCTAAGTTGGGAGACTCTATAGTGCTGGTGGAGCAATATTTGGTGTTGGCTCTGGAAGGGGGCGGAAGGTTAGTATTTATTTGGTATGAGATGGAGGAAGGGTAGACTGTATTATTATATTTTATGGGTTGGATGTAATCTGATTAGGGTAGTACTGAATAATTGCTTGACAGTAGACTTTGTGTGGGTTCGTGGATGATATCCTGGTACTTTAAGTTGGTGATGGGAGAACTGCGATACCTTATACCATGGTATAGCTGATATTGAGGGCATTTCAACTATGGTATAGATGTTGTAATCTGATGTCTGGGTGTGGAAGTATAAGGCATTGAGGATAGTAGAGTAGAGTTCATTACGGGGCCTCCGGGGCCCCGAAAACTGC